AAAGAACTAGGCAACATCCCAAACTTCTAACACTGCTTCAATTGTCCTTGAGTGTTCAAGCCAAAGGAGGTAGAAGTCTCTTAAAGTTTTTTTTTTTTTTTTCCTATAAGATTAAGCGGCATGGCACATATTTACACCCAAGTTAACTTGCCTGAAAGTATAACTAAAGCAAAATCTCTATACAGGTATTTTTGAAAAAAGGGCCTCTATTATGTTCATGCAAACTGTATGTGAGTCAATGTTTCTAGGACAAGCGACAACTATTTAAGCTAGAACACCATCACTGAAATATTTTTGGTGTAGTTCTTTTTGAAAGATTTTTACAATTTTAGTATATAAGATATTTTAAAGTGTCTCATTTAGTTGCTTCTTTGACACTATTGACTGTATAGTTCTTTGACCTTTTGTAAGTCACTCTAGATGAGGGCTGAGAAAAATGAGATTAAAATCCTATTGGGTAACAGTCTATTTTTGTTCTTCCAAACAGCCATTAAGGATTTAAAAGTACCTGTCTTTAATGACCACCCCTGTCCCAGCCTTGGGAATCTTAAAAACCATTAACACAAAAGAAAGCAGAATGGAAAGACGAAGGCTGTTTCAGTTGATTTTCTTGACTGTGAGATGATTCGTCTGGAGCACGGAGGGAGAGTCAGGAAGCAGCTATTTTGGGATCAGATTGTCCCAGTGTAACTTTATCATCTTTGAACTGCTGTTCATTATCAGGAGAATAGATGTACCTATGTTCTAGGAGGAAAAAAAATTGCTTCAATTATTTGTAGGACTTTTTAAAGGTTGCCTCTGACAAGGTGCCACTCAATTTTTTGGTGTAGATTCACTATTTCTGTCCAATGTGCTCAGACCTTAAGTGGTTAGTTTAAATAAAATCACTTACATTGTTATCTTGGAGCCAGAATTTGAAAATACTTTGTGTTGGTAAACAATGTAGGATAACTTGGATGTTATTAAATAAAACTTTGTTGGGGTTGTTTGCCTCACTGTATAAAATTTACTCTGCATCCTTACTTCAGAAGCACTCAAGGTAGTGATTACCTAAATAATATTCCAGGTAGGCAGTTGGAATCATGTAAAATACTTTAATTTTTGTTTCATTTTTTTAAATAAAAGAAAGTAGTTATGGATATAGGGAGACATTTTTCAAATTCATCCTTTCTTGGAACAGAGAGCCAAAGAGGACGTGTTGCAGAAGGAGGTGAGAGTGAAGATTCTCAAGGACAACATCAAATTATTAGCTGCCAAGGTGCCCTCTGGTGGCCAGGAACTGACGTCTGAGCTGAACGTGGTGCTGGAGAATTATCAACTTCTTTGTAATAGAATCCGAGGAAAGTGCCACACACTAGAGGTATGATATATATGGTTTTTTCAGTGAAACATTTCTCAGATCCAAACTCTTTAATGTATTGATCATTTCCATATCTGGTAGAAAAAAAAAGCATCCATCCCTCTCCCATATATTGGATCAAAAAGAAAAAGGTTTTAAGGGAATAGGTTGATTAAAAATGAGAGATTAAAAAGAGGAAACCAAGTTCTGTCTCCAGTTATCAGAAAGTTCTTTAACAAGTCCTTTAATATCTTTATCCTGAATTTTTTCACATGTGCATCAAGATTTTCATGTACAGATGATTCGCAGGGTCTGTTCCAGTCACCCAGTTCCACAATGTACTGCAGACATCTCTCATGAACAGAAGTTTCTTATTCTGAGTGTCTAAAGTTAAGAGGGTTACCCGAAGGAAAAAAGACCTTAAAAACACTGGCATCAAAACAAAACAAAATGTTGGTATTTTGCTGAACCTTAGATAAAATACCTTTTTTTTTTTTTTGCCATTAGATTAGAGATGTAGATGATACTATGCGATTATTTAATAAAATTAAGATTTTGCTTGTTTGTTTTTATAAGATTTTTGTTATATCTTGTAGAAAGATTTTTTTTTTCATTAGAGTCTCGTTGAGAGATTTAAGAAGCATTTTAATTTATAACAATAAATTCAGTTCAACCTAGAACAAATGATTATATCATGTTAAATCCTATAATGGTAAATTAAAGGAAAAAAGGTCACAGTAGTGTTTTAAGAAATTCACTTGCTACTTGATTGTTCTGATTCTATTTGTGCTGAAGTAAATATGCATAATTGAGACCAGCCAGTAAGGAAGCAGCTTGATCAGGGCTCAGTTCTGTCCTTGGGAGGGATCTCTCCAGTGTCCTCTCTTTCCTATAAGAAAGGAGATTGAACTTGAATATAAACAGATTTTTCTATCTGTTGCTTATAGAAATTTGGGAGACTAGAAACCTCTTTTTCCTTTTTCTCTAAGCCAAGGGTCAGCAAATTATGACTGAGGGCTCAAATCTAACTTGTGGCTTGTTTTGTTCACTTGGTTAACCAAGAGTGATTTCTGTATATTTCTGAAGGGTTGGAAAAACACCCACAAACTCCCTTGCTTACCCACCTATCACAAAGAAGAATCTGTGATAGAGACTGGATGCAGCCCCTAAAAACAAAATGTTTTCTGTCTGGCTCTTTATAGAACACTTGCTGACCCCTATTCTGGTAAGCAGACCTTACCCAGAGCACAGAGAAGAGTGTGCCTCCACCTAGTCAGTAGATCTAAAAAAGAACAGACCCAGAAAGCTCGGACCTGAGTATTTTCCTAAATTCTTTCATCAGATAATTTTCTCTTATATGGAATAAAGGAATATAATTGTAAAAATGGATGCATTCCTTAACAGTCTCTTCTGCAGAAACCTTATAGTTGGGGAATGAGTAATTGCAACTAACACAGTAAAGATAGTATAACTCCTTTTTTGGCTAAACTGTGCCTTTCTCTGTCTGGGGATATAGCTCAATTGGTAGAGTGCTTGCCTCACATGCAAAAGGTCCTGGGTTCAATCCCCAGCACCACAAAAAACAAAACCAAAAAACAAATCCATAAAAACAAAAATAAAACTGTGTCTTTCTTCTTGTATAGACCTGTCCTCAGGAATCAAAACACAGTTGGAAAGGCAACACAGTAAACTATTAATATCAGTGAGCTCTGAGTTGGAATTGAGTGTGCCCCAGGAGATTTTTATTTTCTGTGAAATTTTTTAAAATATTGCAGTTATGAGTGATTTTTACCTTCTGTTTTAAAAACTAATATTGTTTCTTTTTAAAAATTCTATTACATAGTTTTATTTTTGACATTAGATCCTTGGAATGTATTTTAATGTAAATAGTGGGGCAGTCTCTGGCTCAATTCTCCTTGTCTCCCCCACCTTAATTGGTCTAATATAATTTATTGACAAATTCAATTTTCTTGCACTTTTTGGGAATTCCAACTTCATCAGTTTCAAATTCCCACACCTACTTATCTTTAGATGAAATTATTAATGATTGAGGAGAATGTGCAAAACTAGAGATACAACATCTGATATGGTTTCTGGACAATTTAAACATTTTCTTTGCGTGCTCTAGGAGGTGTGGTCTTGCTGGATTGAACTGCTTCACTATTTGGATCTTGAAACCACCTGGTTGAACACTTTGGAGGAGCGGGTGAAGAGCACAGAGGCGTTGCCAGAGAGGACAGATGCAGTCAATGAAGCCCTAGAGGTGGGAGCCAGTGTTCTGGGTGGTGTTTTTGTCTGTTGCCAGGAGAACAAACATTTATCAATATGAGGAGCACAAGGCTTTACATGGCCAATGGACTCATTTTCCTCAGTCGCCTGCCATGTTTATGCAGTCATGTTGATTTAGAGGAATGGGACCTGATGGCATAAGCCTCCAAGGTGGTTAGCTGTGTGGCAGTTAGTGCCTTCTAGATGGTAAAGCCAGCTCTCTAGTGGGTTTCCAGTTCATTTTCCCTATCCCTCGACAAAACTCTGCATGTTATTAGGACAGCTGCTCACTAGTTACTTTTACTCACTAAGCACAGCAATGACTGTGTTTATAGCCGTTTCTGGTCCATCCTCTCCAGATGTTGCAAGTTAGAGACTGGTGTGGGCAGTAGTGGACACTGGGGGTCTTGTCATTAGAGCTGGTCTTTTAAGGCTGGTCTTCCAGCTCCTGGGGACAACAAATGCTCCCGATTCTTTGTGTTTTCCAGTTACAGAGCAGTGTGAGACACAGGATACCTTCATTACTGTTTCTTAAAGGAATTGTAATTCAACAAGGTTAGGTTCACTTAAGAAAAAAAAGAAGAGATGGGTGGATATGCTTTTAAACGTTAGAGGTGCTCTGTGGGCACTGAATGGATGATTGGATTGAAGGTCAGAAATAAGTGAACGGTGGGACCTACATTCCAGGAGATGGATGCCTTGCTAGAGAGAAACTGTCATTTCTCAAATACAGCAGAGTGAGAAATTGAGAGAATGAAAAATAATGGAAAACTTACTTTAAGAAAACCCATTTTCCTAATCTGAAAGTAAATGTACATTCTAGAAGCTTGGAAAATAGAGAAAAGTAAAAGCAAACTTTAAAGTAAACACTTACATACTTTGTATACTTCTTCCTAATTATTATTTTTATGTATATGTACTGATGCACTGGGTCATAAGAGCTTAGGAGCTAAGTTGGAATCTCAGTTCTTCTCTTTATTAGTTGGGTATATATAGGCTAGATAGTTCATCTCTTTAAGCTTCAATTTCCCAGTCTGTAAAATGGAAATAATATTTAACTCATGTGGTTAATTAGATTTATGTAAATAAAAGTGTGTATATCAAACAGTGTTTAGTGTTTAGTATGTCTTATAGGGATAAGAGTCCTATTTTTTTAGTAACATAATTATTTACAGTTCAGATAATGTTGTTAGTATGGTACTGCTTGTGCTTCCAAGCTTCATATATTATGGGAATTTCTTATATAATGAATAATTTTTGAAATTATTTTTTATGAAATTGTATAATTATCTTTCATTCATGCTGATTTCTTAGTTTTATTAACTTATTAATACCATGATGGATAATTTTATTCATTACTTGTTTACCTAACTTCTGGTATGATTCCTTAGGTAGATTTCTACACATTATAATTTTTTTTTTTTTAATGACATTGTTTTAGGTTCTTTGATATATTTTGCCCTAGTAAATATGTCTTTCTGTGTCCCTGGTCCAGTCTCTGGAATCTGTTTTGCGCCACCCAGCCGATAATCGCACCCAGATTCGGGAACTTGGCCAGACTCTGATTGATGGGGGGATCCTAGATGACATCATCAGTGAGAAACTGGAGGCTTTTAACAGCCGCTATGAAGATCTGAGTCACCTGGTAAGAATCAGGACATGAATGTGTATGATGGAGTGTTTATGATGCAGAGCTGACCCCCAAGCTCCATCTGATGGAGTGTTAGTTAGTGTTAGTTTTTGGTTAAAGTTAACAACAGCTAAAGTTGGTTAATGCTGATTAAAACTTTAATGCTGGCTGAAGTTAGTATTCAGGACTTTAGATAGGGAAGAAGAGACCTCATGTTTATAAGGCAAGCTGAACCTGACGTTTAAAAACTAATTATCTTTGAGGTTATTTCTGTTTGTGAACCATTTAATTTCCCTTAAGAATCACATGATAGCATAAAAATTAGGGCCATCAGAATTTGACATAAGCTGTTGAAAGCCCTAATCTCTTGGTTCATATCTAAGTTAAATCTGAGTGTTTGTGTTCACATCAATAATTAAAGAAAGGACACTGGTCTTTTTAGAAATGCTGGGTGAGTATTAGATGTTTTCAAACATGTACTAAATAAACTGTTTTTATTTAGCCCATGAATAGCATCAAACTTAACCCCAAAGGGCAGCAAATAGTGGTTAGACACATGTGCACCTTTGGAATTTGTTTTAGATTTTGGAAAACAGAGATTCAGATGTTTGCTCTATTGATTCACATTCATGTTATATTTTATATTTTTCGTGATAAACATTGGTGATTACTAAGAATACTCTAAATTTATAATAAATAACATTTATTTTATTGTGTTCTATAGGAAATCTTTCCATTTTTGTATTTTGTTAGTTTGTGCCGAGAAAAGTAGAAATTAAGAATTTCTACTTCTGGGATAAGGTATGTAAGATACTAGATGGATATTTTCACTCTTATCATTGATAGTTATTATTTATTTATAAGAAAGGCCAAAGTCTTGAACCAGTGCTTTTATAGTCTTTGAGGCTGGAGTGTATACTCAGCAATTTATATTTGTGCTAATGATTAAATTTCTCCTCTGTGAAGGCGGAGAGCAAGCAGATTTCTTTGGAAAAACAACTCCAGGTCCTGCGGGAAACTGACCACATGCTTCAAGTGTTGCAGGAGAGTTTGGGGGAGCTGGATAAACAGCTCACCACGTATTTGACTGACAGGATAGACGCCTTCCAGGTTCCTCAGGAAGCTCAGGTATTGCCGTGGGCTTGAGGGCTTTAGAGTTGTAAAGAAGAGCTAAAGTAGCCTCCTCCTCAACCGCTAGTGAACTCCTGCAGCTAGAGTTGATGAGAAAGTGTCACTGTACTCATCAGGTGGCTCCTGGATTTTGGTGTTCTCTTGCTCCCTGTGAGACTGGCAAATGACCAACATATTTAAACTATGGTTTTCAATCTCTATGAGGTTGGGGCAATGTCTTCTTTATAAATAAGCTGTGAACATTGGAATTGACAGAGGCAAAGACTTTGGCATGTGCGTAACATGCTGCAGTTGTGGTCCACATTATTTTTGGATATATTATAAATTTATTATTACTTTTAAAATATGGTATTATATATTGCACAACTCTATGGGATTTTTGAATTGTTTCTTTTTATACTTAAAACAAACAAACACATCCTGTTCTCTCCTCTTTCTAATCTGTTGGTAGAAAATTCAAGCAGAGATCTCAGCCCATGAGCTCACTCTAGAAGAGTTGAGAAAGAATCAGCGTTCCCAGCCCCCGACCTCTCCAGAAGGCAGGTCTGCTAGAGGAGGAAATCAGATGGACATGCTACAGGTAAATAGGGCAAGGCACTTCCTTTTCTTTTTCAGTATGACACCGTAAAAAGAAAAAGAGAAAAAGTTGATTCCTAGGTACCTTTGGTATTCTTTATGATGTAAGACTGTGCAGTGGAAGTGATATATTGAATCCCATTGCATCCCAGGAGCAAATTAGTACATGGGTAGAAAAATACTAAATCTGATTTTTACAGTTGAGAAGAGAGCAAGTGAGCTAGCTTTAGAAGTTAGCTTTATAGACTGTTGTTTCAGTACAAGCCCCTGTCAGTACTGGCGTGGCTGATGCACTGGGCAGGCTGAGGGCTTATGGGATGCAGTATCACTTACATTTCTTAATCGTCCACGTGAGATGGATTTTCACTCTGAACTTGGGTTGAAGGGCATTTGAGTTCTAGGTTCCCGAATGACGGTTTTTTAAACAGGTGAGAAAATTAATGAAATTTTAGTTCTAGTGAGACCAGCATTATCCACATTTATTATTTCTGAGATGAAGACACAGATTTATGACACTGTGCAGGTTACACAATCATGTGATTCCTTTAAGATTTCCTTTAAGATATCTTCTTCTTTTTGCCATCATACTGAATGTTTTTATTCGTGTTTTATTTTATAGCTTTTTAGCAGTATGTCTTATACTGAAATCTTTTTGGTGAGAGAGATTGTCACTCTGATACGAATTGCTTATCTCTTTCGTTTCTGCAAACAGAGGAAACTTCGAGAGGTGTCTACCAAATTCCAGCTTTTCCAGAAGCCTGCTAACTTTGAGCAGCGCATGCTGGACTGTAAGCGTGTGCTGGATGGTGTGAAAGCTGAGCTTCATGTTCTGGATGTGAAGGATGTAGACCCTGAGGTCATCCAGACCCACCTGGACAAGTGCATGGTGAGCTGTTGGGGAGTCACATGCCTGGTGGGCTTTCAGGGAGCTGATATGACTCAGGATAGTACTTCTGCACATGGTCGTTAGTATAGAGTTTGCTAAACACAGGGAGGGAATCATGGAAAACACATTAAAAAATATGAAATGTGGTCTTTCCTTCCAAGGGAATTTTAAGAGGTAAGAGACCTAAGAGAGAGTAAAATCAGTGATCACAGTGACATGAGATACAGTAACTAGAATAAACTAGCATGTATTACAAATTTATTCTAGCTTTTAAAAAATGGTATTACATATTATACAATTAGAAACATATATCATACAACAAGATCCTAGTATGAAGTTAGGAAAGGTGTCAGAAGAATGTGACTGGTAAGCTTAATTTTCAAGGATAATTTTGAGTTAACTAGAAGAACCATACATAGAATGGATGTCAGAAATATTAACACATTAAAAAAAATCCCTTCCAAGGAAAGTGCAGTGTTAACTACTAAGTTTTATAAAGCCAAAGCCTAAAATATGGAAGAAGTCAGGAACATTATAATATGAAAAAATTCATTTGCTAGGAAAATAAAAGTTTCAATCAGAATTTAAACCTAAGATTGAAAAGAAGAAATGATATATAAGGCCTTATTACTATTTCAGTCTTTTTTTTTTTTAATTTTTTAATACTTATTTATTAGTTTTCGGCGGACACAACATCTTTGTTTGTATGTGGTGCTGAGGATCGAACCCGGGCCGCACGCACGCCAGGCGAGTGCAATACGGCTTGAGCCACATCCCAGCCCCACTATTTCAGTCTTGAACTTTAAAACTCAATAGAAATTTTAAAATAATGAGGTGAGGAGGGCGGGATCTTAGATTTAGTGTTCTTCTTGGGAATTATAAAAAGACAAGTTAACATTCATCAGATATGAGAAACCAGGGAAGGATCTTTGTGCTTCTTCAAACTGCAGTATCTAAATGTCTGCTTCATTTAATTGAGTGGAAGAGTGCACAAATAGGAAAAAAAATCAATCTACATGTGCATATATGTAAGCATTTATTTACTTAATAGGATAGAGTGGCAAGCAAAACAAGCACAGTCCTTGATGTGATGTAAGTGGGTTCACTGTTCTGTTAGGTGACAGTGTCCTATGAGATGTTTCAGGTTAGGAGGATGATGTATGGAGTCCAGCGAAGCGGCCCAGACAGAGCTTTGGGGTTCGAGATGACTGCAGTGAGAATTGCTCTGAATTCAACCTATGCTCCGATTGCATGTAGTCATATTCATCTTGATAGGTGAAGACTTATATATCTTCAATACCTAAGTAGTACCTGCTCATTGTGGTAGACTTACTACTTCAGAGAATAGAAACACATAAATGTTATTAATTCCAAATTCAATCAGCCAGAAATAGCTAGTGATGGCTTTTTCTGGTCTTAGCATTTAGGGCTTTTTTAAAATGAAATTTTTTGGGGGAGACTCAGGATATAGCTCAGTGGTAGAGTGCTTACCCTCCATATGTGAAACCCTGAGTTTATTCTCTGGTCCTGGATTCAAACACAGGGCCTCATGCATGCTAAGCACATGTACTACCAGTGAGCTAACCCCCAGCCCTCAAATGTAACTTTATACGTGATAGACATTTAAGCTAGAAAAAAATATCCATATTGTATTATTAAGTACTTTCATCAACATTTAAAACACGTCTGAATTTCTTTCAAGCCAGCATAATCTCTATTAGTTTACTTTCTTATCTGATTTGAAAAAGTTATTACAACTTTGGTTTAATTTGACTCCACCTTTGAACCCCATTTGAGAAAGCAAATGCCCTTTGACCTCCATCATTAGTTCTTAGCTGTCAATCTGTGTAAGCTGCATTCTGAAATGATCCCAGTTGGCAAATTTTTATTACAATGTGAAACTTGTTATTCTTGTTTTTTAAGAAACTCTATAAAACTTTGAGTGAAGTTAAACTTGAAGTGGAGACTGTAATCAAAACAGGGAGACACATTGTCCAGAAGCAACAAACGGACAACCCTAAAGGGATGGATGAGCAACTGACCTCTTTGAAGGTCTTGTACAATGACCTGGGTGCTCAGGTAAGGAGAGCAATGCTACAGCTTACTTTCTCTCTCTCATATGATTTTATTCATTATTTTATTTTTTCATGATGGGAATTGAACCCTGGGACCTTGTGCATGCTAATCACATGCTTGATCATTGACTCACACCCCCACTCCTCTCATATATTTTAAAATTTCACATTCTTGCAAAATGCATGTTTGAAATTTATGGCATTTATACATGTTCCAGGAATTTTTGCTGTATTTCTTTAAATGTTTCTGTTAATATTGTGATGATTAATAGCGAATTGGAAATTTATTTTTAATGTTTCATCCAGATTAATATTTATACTTTCAATGTCTACTGACATTCGTATATTATTCTAAGGAAATTCCACCAAGGGTAGTCACTGTGTAAACTCGAGTTATTGGTCTTGGTATTTCTAAATTGAATAGTCTATTGAGAAATGTTAAAACATCAGGTAGTAAATATTAAGTGACAGGAAGTTCATATTAACCTACCAGGATTTAAAATTCTGCCAAGAAACATCCATAGTTTGGGCATTTTAGTGACTCCATGTGGAAGTTGTTGGGCCATTTAGTGTGATGGACTGAGTGAATACTGTAGGCTTATTGTCCTTTCTCATTGAGAATCTCTGCCCTGAGACAGGAGAGCAAAGGAACATGTGGAAGTGAAACCTTGGCAATGTTGAAAAACCGTTGGGCTAAGTTTTGGATCCTTCTTCCATTAGTAAATATTAACAATTTCTGCTTTAAGTAAGATTGAAGTTTCTGCATAAGCCCAGAGAAAAATAGCTCAAATTTTGTTATCAACTTAAAACCAAGAAGAATGAAAAGTCTATACTTTTTTCTAGGTGATTTTGACCTCACTTCTGCAAGAATCAGGTTATTGGTGTGATATATATTGTGCATCTGGAACCCATGTCTTAGAGTTTCTCATTGGCTGGTCATTATAAGGATGAGAATGGATTTGCTGGTTTCTATACTAATTCTCTAATTAGTTTTTAGCATTAATTAGGTGTTGGCATTTACTAATTTTCTTATTCAAAATAATTTAGACTTCACTGTGTATATAGGTAGTAGGGATAAGTGGTAAGCAAAAACATAATATATATATATATTTTGTCTGGGGAGTTGAAGGTAGTGAAAGAGGAAACTGTCAATCAAGCAGTTACGTGGAGTAGTTACAGAATGTCAGTCTGCAGTGTTCTGAAGGGATGTGTGTGACATGGATAAAGATTTGGTCCAGTCTTTGGTTAGGAAAGCTTCCTGAGGGTGTTGTTTAGTAGCCTTTGTGTTGCTGTGACCCAAAGACCTGAGAACAACTTCTAGAAAGAAAAGATTATTCTGACTCACGGTTTCAGAGGTTCAGTTCATGGTTGCCCAACTTTATAGCTCTGGGCCCGAGGTGAGGCAGACCACCATGGTGGAGAGATGTGATGGAAGGAAGTGGCTCAGGACATGGCAACTAAGAGGGAGAGGGAGAGGGAGAGGGAGAAAACAATTTGCTCTTCAAGGACAATATAAACCTCAAAGGCGCCCCCCACCCCCAGTGACTTAATATTCTCTAGCCACATTGTACCTGCCTATAGTTACTGCCAAATTAATCCATATCAGTGAATTAACCCTTTTATAATCCCATCTTTTGATCTCTGAAAATTCTTCAAATATCTCACACCATGAGCTTTTGGGAGAGGACATCTTCTATCTAAACCATAACTGAAATGATGCATTAGCTAAGACCTGAAAGATGGGTAGGAGTATTATGGGTGAAACTAGAGGAGGGGCTCCCGAGGCTCATGGAATAGCATGTGTAAAGGCCCTGTGGCAGGAGGCAGTATGGCTAGAGAGAGAGAACGCCCGTGTGGAGAATATGGTGTCAGGGAGATAGGATGAGACCAGACCCTGCTGGTGTCACCAAATTTGTGTTAAAGGTTTTAATCTCTGTTTTAAGATTAACAAGCAATAGTGCAGGGTTGTTAGGCAGTAGATGACTTGTCCAGACATGTATTTTTTTAAAAAGTCATTCACTGCACTTTGGAGACTGAATTGGAGAGAAGTAGGAAGAAGTGCATGGAGAGCCTGGAGAAAGTCCTTGTTATCGTCTTTCTCGTGAGACGTGATGGTAGAGTGGTGACGGTAGAAGCCAAATAGCCTGGCTTGAGATATGTGTGGTAAGTGAGGCACTGAAACTGGTACTGTAAGAAAATGGTTTTGAGGATTTGTATGGGAAAAGTAGAAGAGAGGAAGGTCTGTAGGGAAGGAGGGGGTCAACAAGGGGCTTTTTTTCTTTTTTCTTTTAAGTGTGAGCAATGAGTATGTTTAAGAGCTGATGTAAACCAGTCCACTGAGAAGAAGTCATTGCATATCCATGAGGGGAGAAGGGATACATGGCTAGGTAAAAGATTTACAACTTGAAATGGCCTAATTCAATATGCAGAACATCTTAAAATGTATTGATTAGACTGAAAAAAAGGTATAAATTGTTATACATTGAACTGTAAATGATTTTCATCCTGGTATATGCAAATCTTTGGTGGCATTAAGTTTTATAATGGTTATAGAGCTGTCTGGGCATGCCAAAATCAGATAAGTATCCTTTGAATACATAATATCTTTTTAAAATAAGTCAAGTGTTTGTTTCGAAAGTCTGTATTGAGATGCTATGAGAGTCTTAAATTTTAATTGAACTCTGTGGGGGAAAACACTTTTTTAGAAGGAATTTAATAGCAATAAATCCTTGAGGTATGAAAACGTGAAATTGAAAATGGGGGGTGGGCGGTGGACAGAAGAACCAAATATACTCCCTTGTTATTTATTAACAAAATTTGGCTTTTATGTCATCCAAGAAATCTCATCTCATATATGACATATTCCTGTACTACTTAGATTTTATTATGTGTACATATGTACTCATCAAAATAAGAAATCACTTTATGCATTATGCTGTTATGTCCTTTAAGGGGGTGTCTTCTCAGCTGTAGATTGTGAATTATTGTTCTTGGTTTGGGGATACCGTCATGGAATGTGACGGGTTTGACTCAGCTCAGTTCAGTGGCTGTGCTGACTCTGTCTTGGTCTTAATCTTCTTAAGCTTCAATTTTCCTTATCTGTAAAGTGGAGAGAATAGTGACTGTCCCAAAGCTGTGGTGGATTTTATTGCATGACACATATCGGATTCCTTAGCACAAACAGAAGCTGTATTAAGAAGTGGGTGAATGTTTTGCTTTCTATCAACAACAAGAAGAACAAGCTGAACATGGTGGTGCATGCCTGTAATCCCAGTGACCGGGGAGGCTGAGGCAGGAGGATCATGAATTCCAAGTCAGCATCAGCAACTTAGTGAGGCCCTAGGCCACTTAGTGAGACCCTGTCTCTAAATAAAAATTTAAAAAGGCTGGGGATGTGGCATCCATTGGTTTAATCCCTGGTACAAAAACCAAACCAAACCAAAACAAAACAAAACAAGAAGAACAAAATAATAATAATAAGGTTCATGTTGCTTAGTATTGTAAATCATATTGTTAATTGTAAAACATACCATTGTGAAAATAGTGCTTCTCTCTCAAATTTTCATAATATAGTTTATATGCACTTTTTAAATGGAGTTTTTTCATTGAGCGGATTCTGCCATCTTTTGTTCAAAATTATAATACATGCTTGATTATTGATTCTTTTGTTCCAAGGACTGGGCCCAGTCCTTCCCGTATGTATTTTTCTCATTTCATCCTCATAACAAACTTTTAAGGGCTGGGCCTCTACCAGGGTCAGGAGCTAAGATCACAACCCCAGGCTGTCTGACCTTCAGCCACTTCAGTAGATTGATTGTCTTCTTGCAGAAATGCAAGATTGGACGATTCTGACATGTTAGAGGTAAAGGTGATGGGTGTCTTGGGGGTTAAATATGAATCAGTTTTGATCTTTTTATCGATATTTGGATTTGTTCCTGTTCATGTTCAATCTTGCCTCAGACTCAATCTCTCACACTTTGTCTCTGCTGTTCAGGTGACAGAGGGAAAGCAGGACCTGGAAAGAGCATCTCAGCTGGCCCGGAAAATGAAGAAAGAGGCCACCTCCCTCTCAGAATGGCTCTCTGCTATTGAAGCGGAGTTGGTACAGAAGTCCACTTCGGAAGGTGTGCTTGCTGACTTGGACACGGAAATCTCCTGGGCTAAAGTAAGTTGCAGCTCTGACGGACCATTGATATCTCACCAGTGTGACCTTTGGCACTTGTAGGGGATAATCTTGGTGGGTACTATTTTCCTCCATTTCATATTAAATATAGCCTTTTCTTTTTTTTTTTCATTATTTTTTTTCCATTTCTCTGTCCCAAGAAGAACATTTTAAAAACCACTATTTTAAGAAGATATTTTTATCTTATTCCCAAAGCAGTGAACTCATATGGATCATGAAGGCCTTTGTAGGTATTATGTTTATGTGATACTTGAAACCACCTTCAAAATCAGCTTAATTATTTCAATATTTAGTCTTTACAAAGTATAGTGCTGATTTTAATTTTTTAATAATTTTTTAACCAATAACTACTAGTCTTTTGATAATAAACGAATTAATGTCAAGAATAGTGAGATTTTTTTTTTTTTTTAACAAAACCAACAAAAGACTTTTCTTTGGCCCTATAGTGATTTTGCAGTTGCAGAGACTAGAGAGTTGATCTGCCAGTTTTCAGAGGTGCATGAAGAGTCAATTGGATCACAGAGCAGTTCTTTTACCAAGGGACTCTGTTCCCTGTCAACTTATTTACAGACAGAAGCAGATATACTAGAAAGAGTGCTGAAAAAATATAATGGATACAGAAACAGGTGTTGCTACAGAGCCTGGAGTATCCCTGTTGATAGTGTCTGTAGGTGTTCACTGTGGGCATTCCCCAAAGGTGGCTGGAGGTAGCTGGGTGACACACAGCTGCTGTTTACCTTAAATGCTCAGTGGAGATGACACTTGAGAGAAAATGAAGTAGTAGGCTCTGAGAAGAGTATTCACAATGTGGAAAATAGCTTACAGAAAGTGTGGTTATGCCATAAGTTTTGTAAGTGAAAGGGGTAGAGAAAGGGACGTATGAGGGAATGAGGGATGTTGCAAGGCATCGGTGTTGCGTGGGTGAATGCAAAGCAAAGGCTTTTATTAAATTCAAGTTGTTCAAGGAAATGTCTTCTTTGTACAGTCTACCGTAAAAACCATTATTTTCACTGAGCACAGTGGTGCAAGCTTGTAATCCCAGCAGCTCAGGAGGCTGAGATAGGAGGATCACAAGTTCAAAGCTAGCCTCAGCAATATAGGGAGGCCCTAAGCAACTTAGTAAGACCCTGTCTCCAAAAAAAAAAAAAAAAAAAAAAATAACAAAAAGGGCTGAGGATGTGGCTCAGCTGTTAGGTGCCCCTGGGTTCAATCCCTGGTACCAAACCAAACTAAACCAAACCAAAACAAAAAACATTATTTTCTTATTAGCAACATAATTTTTGTACAGCAGTTCCTGCTATCTGTATATTTCATGATCCCCAGTGAATGCCCCAAACTGCAGATAATACCGTGGTCTGTGTTATTGTGCTTTTTCCTATATTCATACATATGAATTCAATGCCTTTCCATCTTAACTGACCTCTCACTGTGTACTGGAGCTATAACTTGTGCAGTTTGAGGTGAGACAGCAAAACAAGCATAATTTTCTTTTCCTTTTCACAATTTCATAGAGAAAATTCATCCTTAACATGGGCCCTACCACTTGATGCACACAATGCTTTTCTTTCTTTGTGAAGTTGACAGTTGGTACCATTTCCCTTTAAGCCCTCATGTTACAGTGTCCCTTGGCTTTCTGCATTGTTGGGATCACAACTAGCACTTGAGCCCATTAGGAAGTAAAATAAAAATTCCTGGAACACAAGCCCTGAGACTTAGCAACTGTGCATCTAATCAAGGAGAGGGCTGCTAAGTGACTTCTAGATGAGGAGGGTGTACATTGTGACCCCACTGGACATCTCAGGCAGGAAGGAGCAGGATAACAGGAAATTTCTACATGTTACTCAGAACAGCATACCATTTATATCTCCTAAATTGTCTATTTATTGAATTCTCCATTTAATATTTTCTGACTGTAGTTGCCTGTAGCTAATTATAATTGTGAAAAATGGAGCACTATAAGCTAATTGAATGAAATTTGCACAGTGTGATATGGAAAAAAAAACAGAAGCCAAATCACCTATACTCAAACACTACCCTCCTGTGTGTGTGTGTGTGTGTGTGTGTGTGTGCGTGCGCGCGCGCGTGTGTGTTTCCAGGTACATATTGACATGCACAGGCATAGTTATATTGTTTAAAAAGCAACTATATCATATCTAGTGTTTCATGACTTTCTTTTAAAAATTCATGTCTTCAACATTTCTGTCACCTGTAACTGTTGTATTACATGTTAGAGATATGCATAGTATCTCATTAATTTAATTTTTGTCCTACTGAAATCAGTACTATTTTTTACTATTGTAAGTAACACTATGATGAATATTCTCATGGCTAAATCATAGCTAACATTCATATGTGGATAAATATTTTGCCCTAAAATTATTGGTTCAAAGGACATATCTATCCTAAAGCCTTAAACACATTAAGAAATTGCCTTTTGGAAATGTTATATGTCCCACCTTTGAATGAGAATTTGTATTTGCTTGCTTTAATTACAACTTTGATCACAGTAGACAAACATCTTTTTTTGTTGTTATTGAGTTAGAATATTTTCTATAAGTTTATAGGCCACCTGTAACTCTCTTTAAAAATGTCCCTTTTCCTGTAACTGTGGCCATTTTTCTATCCCCAGATTACTATTTTAATTTAAGCTCTTTGTTAAGATCACTCATTCTTAGTGTGTTGAATATGACTACAAAAAACTATTGCTGCCCATGGAGTTTCCTTTAAAGTTTTTAAGACAAAAATGGTTATGTGTACTTTTAAACACATGGAATCCATCTTTTCATCATTATTTCTGCCTTTAGTGTTTAGAACGGCCAACTTTACTCCAAGGTCATGTGATTTACATTATATTTACTATGTTTATATACTATATTTATAGTTTCTTCAAGCCCTTTTATACTATCATCTTTTTACCTTTAATGCTTTGATTCTTCCGGAGTTTATTTGTTGTACATGATGAGATAAGGCTCTAGAGTGCTCTTATAGGTAACCAGTGATCTTGGCACTGTTTATTGAGTGATTTTTCTCTACTGATATGACATGCCAAAGTCGTTCTTCTTATTTACCTGTTGTGCTTCCTTGTTTTCTGCTGCACTGATCTGATGATCCTGTAAAATGTTTCAGTTCCTTATCTATGTAGTTTTACTTTTATTTATTTATTTGTTTTGTACCAGAGTTTAACCATCAGGCCACATCCCCAGCCCTTTTTATTTTTTTTAAATTTTGAGAAAGGGTCTTGCTATGTTGCTTAGGCCTCACTAAGCTGCTGAGACTGGCTTTGAACTCACGATCCTCCATCTCAGCTTCCTGAGTGGCTGGGATTACAGGTGTACACCACTATGCCTGGTTCTTGTCTATGCAATTTTATGCTATATTTTAATTATAATTAAGGATTTCCCAGTCTTTTTGCTTCTTTTTTGGTATATAGTCAGTCTTATATGAAGAATTATTATTAGTCTCAAATTATTAAAAGAAGCACTGTTTTAAACATTGATTGGAATTGCATTGAATTAATGGATTTGTTGGAGAAGAATTGATATCTTGTTGAGTCTTTTTATTAATATGGTATGTCTCATCCCCTGTGCTCTGCCAGCTTCCTTCACATTCCTACATACTGTTTTGATTGTTTTTATTCTAAACATTATATAGACATGCAAAGAGGTTTGCTCCTATATATTTATTCTATTGCTATATGAATGCATGCATGTTTTTTCTCTTTTTTCTAATTGCTGATAGTTAATACACAGATGATGTTGAATTTTATATATTTAATAGTTAATCTTTTTATACACATATAAATTTATTTCTAGTTGATTCTTGCCATTTTTTTTTCAGGTAAAGACTGTAAATATTGATGTTTGTTTCCTGGAATTATACTCTTTTAAATTTCATTTGATCATATAACAGATTTGAATCATGAAGATGAAGTATACAAATTATACAGCCCATTCTTTTCACTAGAATAAAACAAATTAAACATCAGCATGTACCATATCACCCATCTTTTCAATACCATGTCACCCATCTTTTCAATACCATGTTTTCAGACTTAAGGAATGTGCATATTTCACAACATTTTAGTGTTATTGCACTTAAGGATTACGTAAAATTATTTTCAATGTAAAACTTACATGGCGTTTTCATCTCTGCACCTAATTAGTATTTTTATTCCAAAAATCATTATTTTCAATGTATTTTATTTGCTATAAAATCTTTAACATATATGTGTATATTTTTTAAATTTGATTAGTTGTAGTTAATTATTCCTTATAGCTCTTACAGACTATTTTAGTCCATTAGTACATAACCACTGAAGGAATTAGTAGAGAGTGTGTGCTATGGGTCTTCTTTTTACTCCTTATTGGTGAAAAATTTGTGAAAGAGATATTTCTTTTCTCTCATAAATGTACCAATGATTGACAGGGGCCAAGTGAGTGTTTAAACTTTTACTCACTTGTGGTTTGCAATTTGCATGCTTTCCAAAATGCGATCTTATGATGTTCAAATATAAACTTGAGCTCCTGGAAGAGATTGATTTAACTGTTGGTTTAAGACGGTGAAACAGATTTCAAAAGGTGCAGGGCAGTGACAGTAGTGAGGTAGCTATGTGTCCATGTTGTTTTTGATTGCGAGAACTCAGTCTTTTACCACACTTTTCCTTTCTGTGAATGTAGCTTTGCCTGCTCAAATTTCAGACTGTATCAGTCAGATTATCATAGTTTCCCGACTACCCTTTTCTGTTATGGCGGTTGTAAGACGAATCACAGACTTGTTAGTTCTTCAATGATTTTCTTAGGATGAAACATTTTTTGTAATGTTTATATGACATTATATATCAAGACACCTAGTTCCAGGATACAATGCTTGTGAGTAATAATAGTACACATGCAATAGATTCCCATGATGGTCTAGGAGATAAATTCATTGTAAATTTTTAGAATTCTGAGCTCTGGAATCTTTCTGCTTTGCCAACTTGCCATTCCTAAAAATGAAATTGATTCTTTTTATTTAGACCTCTGATGGAGGGTGATTGGTATTTTTGTAATAAATAAAATTTATTCTTAAATTAACTAATTACACTTTTCACATCACAATTTCTTGCATTCTTTGATCTTTGCTTAAACATCGTAATATTTGTTAGGAACCTAAGAACTCTCACCTTGTTGCTAAATTGGGTCTGTAAACTTTGGACACATTGCAGATGATCTAGGAAGTCGTGGATTACTGTGCATAGGTGAAAGAAAAGTTAAAAATGTATAGGGTTCATAAATTTTTATAATATTCTGAAAGATCAAGTGGGTCTTGGTGCTTTTATCTTCTAGAATGTTCTGAAGGATCTGGAAAAGAGAAAAGCAGATTTAAATGCCATCACAGAGAGCAGTGCTACACTCCAGAACTTGGTCACAGGCAGCGGGCCTGACCTGGAGGAGAAGCTGTGCGTCCTGAGCGCAGGGTGGAGCCGAGTTCGCACCTGGACAGAGGACTGGTGCAATACCTTGATGGTATGTTCCCAGACACATTGAATGCTCACCTCTTCCTTTCTGTTTTACTTAATTCTAAATGAATGCAGCTTTGATTGGAGTTTCAAATCCCATTTTCTGTGTGCCCCAGGAGTGTTTTGCTTGTGAATTAATTTCATCAGACTACACTTTATTTTGCCTTTGAAAAGATAATAACTAGAAAGAATTCACAGTGCATCAATGAAAGAATAAAATATGTGTGGCATGCATGGAAATATGTACTTTAACTTTTAAATGTACTTTGTTTCATTGTAATGATGTCATATAGTATTTAATTTTCTTTGCAATGTCCTAAAATAGTTAAGAGCATGGGTTCTAGCATCTCATGACCTATGTAAAATTTTTGACTGCTAGTCAGGTGGAGGTTACTTAAACACTCTCTATGCTTTGATTTTTCTCATCTAAAAAATGGATATTATCATACTTTCTCCTTCATACAATGCTTGTGATGATTAAAAACTTAAAACATGTAGTGGTCTCATATAACTATATGTAAGCAATTGATTTTAAACATTATTGTTGTGATTATGACAATTATTACAAGTTGTAATAATTATGCTGATAATTATGTTATGGGAATTTGACTATTTAGTTTTCATAGTGTTTTTTATGTTTCCTTCTTTGACTAACAAGGATATATGGTACCTCCATCCTCCCCTCTGAAAAAAAAATACTTGCCACTTACAATTTATTCTTTTTCCCTGACATAGCTATTAGGACTTTTACCCAGTTCATATAATTAACTGGGTAATGGATACAGACAGAAAAAAACATAAATTATAATGTGTTTGAGCATTTATTCCAATCCATTAGGATGTGTAGATCAGGGAAGGTCATGGGCTTTGATCAAATTCTATCACAGATGCATATTCCAGCCCATGACTTATTATCTGTATAACCCCAGGTAAATTGTGCAATGTCACTAAGCTTCAATGTTCACGTCTGTGTAGGGATGGGAATAAAAGTACACATCTAACAGAGTAGTTCATTGATCATTATAATAAAGGACTGAGGTTCTTGCTCATAGAAAATGCTCTTAAACATTTTATATATTCATTTTTGTTGTTACTAGATTATTCCACATCCTTACAGACTTTGCTTCTATATTCTTCAGTTTGTACCTTCCTAATTCTCCTTCCAGGCAACATCTTAGAAAGATGTTAGAACAATCGATGTAGCTGTGTTACAGGGATCCGTGCATCTGGTTCTTCTCTGTTCTTTTTTAGAAGGCAGCACACTGTCAGCCTTTTGCCCATAGCATTTATTAGTCCACATTTTCTATTTCAATGATTTTTCTGTGTCATAGATTAATATTTTTTCCCTTTCATTAAGTCTTCTAAGATTTTTCTAGTTTCCTTTTTCCTATAAAATATAATGAAGTTGTCAGTTTCATCATAAGGCCTGACCCCTGTTTGTGGTCAAGTTTAACTTCTTTCCTCAACAACTTCCCCAGTTTTAATCTGCTCAGCTGTTTGCTCCTGTTTTCCAGTTTGTTCTCTCAGTCACATTTTATGTCATATCCCAGCAAACAGGACTGCACTCTGAGCCAGGTGTAGTATTCAGTGCTGGCAATACTGAGAGAAAAGACACTGGCCCTGTCCTCTCTGCAGATGTAGTTTGTTGAGCCAGCAGAATGGAATAGGTTGAGTGTGATTGCATTTAATAGTAATAAATGAGTTTTTAAAATACATGATTGAGAGGGATAATGAGATCAGTTGCAATCTAGGAAAGAGGAATAAGAGACAAACTTGAAATTGAAAAAGAAACTTTCGTCTTTTATTCTTCAACTTTGTATTGTGTTGAGATCTAAGTCAAGTTTAAAAATGCTTAGCCGTAGCTGTGCATTTTTAGTATTGAGATTTATTCAGTAAAGAGAGCTTTGCAGGGAGGTAGAAACCCTTCTTTAAATTCAACTTACGCTTTGCTCTTTGAAGGTCTTTTAAATCTCTTCTAAGATTATCATCTTAAATATTTCATGTGATTGTGTCAGCGTTTTATTAATTCCTTTGTAGAACCATCAAAACCAGCTGGAAATATTTGATGGAAACGTTGCTCACATAAGTACCTGGCTTTATCAGGCTGAAGCTCTGTTGGATGAGATTGAAAAAAAACCAGCGAATAAACGGGAAGAAATCGTGAAGGTACAAGGCCTAGACAGATCAGCCACACTTGGCAGGGGGTAGAACATTTTGCCAATGTCTTTTCTCTTGTGGATGCTTTGAGCTACTTGTGTTCAAGTTATTCTCATGCAATTGATTTATTAACATTTAGTTGGTGGGAAAAGCTGAAATCACCAATGAGTTTTATATGAACAGCTCTTACTCTGGTTGATTGTGCTGATTCTTATTAGGAATCCCAGACATTTACTTAAACCACCTCTAATTCTGAGTAAGCATCACACACAAGTTAGATTTTGACTTTTCCCATGGGATAATTTTGTGGTTTTTTTTTTTTTTTTTCTTTTTACAATTAGCGTTTAATATCTGAGCTGGATGATGCCAACCTTCAGGTTGAAAATGTCCGTGATCAAGCCATTATTTTGATGAATGCACGTGGAATTGCAAGCAGGGAGCTTGTAGAACCAAAATTAGCTGAACTGAATAGAAATTATGAAAAGGTGTCTCAACATATCAAAAGTGCCAAAGTAAGTTATTAAATTTTTAGAGAAAACCATTTTTTTTCTTATGGGAATGTGTCTAAATGATAGATGGCAATATGGCATATACATAATTTTTAAAAATTAAAATTACTTTAATTGCTTTTTTCTTTGGATGGAACATTTGTCCCTTTTATTCATGATTGTGCCTATAGAGAGAAAACAAGGAATTACCATTGAAGAAAACAACCTGTTTGAGAAAAGTTTTCAAATACTCAATTCGAAGTTAAAATTAACTATGAAATAATGAGACTAATTCCCAAGGAAGGCATGAATATTAAACCCATAATTTCATAGTCATACTGTCATATAAACTGAACACAACTTGTTTTTTTGCGTATACATAGACAAATGCAAAAATTGCAACTAACTTCAGAGTTTAGATTTTACGGAGAGGTGTACTGCCTGCCTTAATAAATTTAAAGAAGGGGTTTATGAATTTTAAAAGAAGATAAGTAAGAGCTTTTCTCTGTAAAAAGCTGTTCATCTGTGCTCCAATGTGATGCTGTGCCTCTGTGTCTTTCCCATTCTCTCTTTCTATCCTTGTTTTACAAGGGAAGGAAAGGGAGCATTTGACTGCTGTGCTTTAAGGCCTGGCATGGAGTGGATGCTTCAGTAAGTGTTAAGTGGAAAAGATGAGCATATTTTGATGGTTTGGTGGGGGAAAGGCTGAGCTGAGGTCAGGGTTGTCTAAACCACGTGCCATTCTCAGGAATCACAGGAGTCTGTGTTTTTCAGGATCTTGGTTGTGCTCACAGGATGGCATTTTTTAAAATATTGATTAATTTTTTTCACTTGTTCTTTTTAGATATAGATGACAGTAGAGTGTATTTTGACGTATTATACATGCATAGAGTATAACTTATTCTATTAGGATCCCATTCTCAGGGTCGTACAAGATGTAGAGTTTCACTGTTGGTGTATTCACATATAAACATAGGAAAGTTATGTCTGATTCATCTTACTGTCTTTCCAATTTCCATCTCCCCTCCATTTCCTTCATTTTTCTTTGTCTAATCCACAAACCTTCTATTCCTCCCTCCACCTTATTGTATGTGAACATCCACAGATCAGAGAGAACATTCAACCTTTGGTTTTTGGGGATTGGTTTAATTCACTTAGCATGATAATCTCCAGTTCCATCTATTTACTCACAAAAGTCTAAAGTCATTCTTTTTATGGCTGAGTAATATTCCATTGTGTATATATACCAGATTTTCTTTATCCATTCCTTTGTTAAAGGGCACCTAGGTTGGTTCCATAGGTTAGCTGTTGTGAATTGAGCTGCTATAAACATTGTAGTATGCTGATTTTAAGTCGCTTGGGTATATTCTGAGGAGTGGGATAATTGGGTCAAATGGTGGTTCCATTCCAAGTTTTCTGAGGAATCTCCATACTGCTTTCCAGATGATTGCACCAGTTTGCAGTCCCACCAGCAATGTATGAGTGTGCCTTTTCCCCCACATACTCGCCAACATTTATTTATTCTTGATAATTGTCATTCTGAGTGGAGTGAGACGGGATATCAGTGTAGTTTTAATTTGCACTTCTCTAATTGCTAGAGATGTTTAACATTTTTTTCACATATTTGTTGGCCATTTGTATTTCTTTTTCTGTGATGTTCCTGTTCAGTTTCTTTTCAGGAGAGCATTTTTATATTGTTAATCTTTAGAGAGTTGTGTATTGAGATTATCAATGAAGACAGATACACTTTGTGTGTGTGTGTGGGGGGGGGAAGGGATAAACATTACCTAACCTTGCTTTAATTTGAAATATCTGATAAAGTAAGCCAAATTATCTTTCATAGTTATGTATATGCTTAGATTATTCACAATTTAAAGAAAATAAACAAAAATCTTGCTTTGGCTTTTGTTTTTCTTATCTCCTTACCGTACGATCTAAATTTATTCTTTTCAATAGATTTATGGGAGATTTTCTTGGTATAAAAAACAATGAACAAGACAGGATAGAGTAACAGGAAATACAAAGAAAAATTTTACTATCATCCCTATGAATAACCTCTACAAATCTTTTGCCATATATATCTGCTTTTATTCATAAGAGACACTTAAATATCAATTTTTTGATTGTTTTGCATATTCTCCTTTGACATGATTCTTAATGGTCACAGAGTATTTCATCAGGTGATCTGTTAAGATTTTCTAAGTTCATTTTCCACTTTCATTGAGCCTTTATGAATATTACATTTGTTAAGATAATTTTAGACTTATCTATTTGTTCATCTCTTATTATGTCACTGAGGTCAATTCTTAGAGTTCCTTGTAATTGTAGCAAAATTGTGCATCTAACTGTTAAGTAGATTTTCCAAACAGCCCATTAGAAAGTTTAGACCAGTTAATACTTCCATAATGAGGTTATGAGAGTGTTAGTTTTCCTGCACTTAGCCAACACTAAGTGCCATTTTCCTGCATTTAGTTTTATTAAAAAATTGTTTGGTGATTACTGTTACAGAAATACAAATATTTTTATATAGGCTTAACCTGAAAATGTTGCATTGAGAAGTATTTTTTTTTTTTAATAGTTGGGTATCACAGTCCAAGAGAAATGCTTCTGGGGCAATGTGACTGGGAGACATTCTGTGGGTGTCCTTCCACTGGGTGGCGGGTCCTATTTTTCCCTTCTGTGGCCATGGCAGGGATGGCTTTTGAATGTCGCTTTTGTCTACTATGCTCACATGTGCTCTCAGGATCCAGTACACAGCCATAGTCAATTACACACTACCTCACATCTCTGCTAGACTTTGGAGAAAACAGGTAATTCACAGAAGACCATGTGGGTAAAATTGTTGCTATATGAATGAATGAAATTAAAGTCAGTTCCAATAAATGATCATTCCTCTCTTGACTCCCTGTTTTTCTTTGGTTATTCGGGGAAAGTTAAGAATTCATCTTCAGAGATCCCCTTTTCTTCTACAGCTGCTTATTGGTCAAGAGCCACTGTCGTACCAACATTTGGTTACCACCGAAGCATTTGAAGCTGGTGTGCCTTTCTCTGACTTGGAAAAATTAGAAAATGACATAGAAAGCATGTTAAAAGTTGTGGAAAAACACTCGGAATCCAGTGATGATAATGAAAAGGTTGGTTCAAGGGGATTTGCAAAACTGCAGTCTCATTTTTTCTTCTCTTTTAATTATATTTTTACATTGTTTTTGACCCACATAACCTGCCAATCATGACTGAAGAAATCCAGATTTTCTAAGTGTCAGTGTAAGATTTGTCAAGTGCTTTATGTAGTCATGCTTAATTCCACCCCGCCCACACACTTTCTGACTATGTAATCCTTAGCGTAACTTGTGCTAAACTAGCTTTGGGATATTTTAATTTCAAATATGAAATATTTTAAGCGAAACATGAATTATTTTTATCATTCAGGTTATGATGACTTCTGCTATACTTCATATGTTAGTTCTCTCACTTGCTGACGATAGTAAATAACTACACATTTTTCTTTTGAATCATTTTTTCCTTTAAACATTCAGATGGACGAGGAGAGAGCCCAGATTGAGGAAGTTCTACGAAGAGGAGAACAAATGCTCCATCAGCCTATGGAGGACAATAGGAAAGAAAAGATCCGTTTGCAGTTGTTACTTTTGCACACAAGATACAACAAAATTAAGGTCTGATGGGAGAATCCTGGTTGCATTTACAAAACTTATTCAGCTCCTGCCATTGAGTTGTTTGATTTCATATTCTTGGATGCTTTAAAAGAAACCTGTTGGGATATTATCTCCTCCTTTAATACATTTTACTAGATAGACTGATATTTTTGGACGAGGCAGGAGTCAAAGAAGTAGAAGAATAAAACCTTATTAGTGGTCTTTTCTGATCATGTATGAAACGTAGAAAAAAAAATCAGTCCTTTTCTGAAGTGGCTTTCTCCTTCAGTTCTGCATTTGATATGTGGAGGTCTTGGGCACATCAAAAATTTTTTTAGTTCATAAATAACCAGATGAAACTGATGTACTGTGATTTATATTCAAGAACAGGATCCGCCTTTAGTTGACAGTGCTGCATCGTAACTGGGTCTGGTGATCCCAAAGGGTCTGCTCTATGGAAACTCCTTAGGAGTTGGTTTGCTTTGATGATTTTGGACTCTAAATCGATTTCAGTGTAGATGTGGCTTGCTACTGGATGCAGCCATGTGATATGCCTCAAAGTGACTGCTATTTCCCCATACCCTCTTGTTTCCTGATTTATTTTCTACCTGAGTCAATGACCTTAAAAACTAGCCAGTCTCTCACGGCAGACTCCAGCATCACTCTCAGCTATTTCTTGATCCCACATACCATGTTCCTCCTCCACATTAAGCAGGGAACAAAACCATGGAACTGAATGAAGCAGATATAAGTCTGAACTTGAAGTTAGCACTCACTCCTTATTCTAGGACCATGGGAAAGTGCCTTAACATCTCTTAGTTCACTATACTTTTCCGTTATTCCCAGACCAATGGTTTTCTCCCCAGTTGTTACAATGCGTCCCCTTCAGGTTTTCTTGTGTTCAGTTTTTCTTACTCTGGTGCAATCCTTCTTATTTTCTTCAGAATTATTTCCCCCAAAGTTATAGCTGATTGTGCCATTCCTTTACCTAAGAAACTTCAGAAAGATTGCAAAATACAGAGGCTTTAAGTGCAAGCGTCATCAGTGTAACATCATCCCAAGGCTACGTCTTCTTTGGTTTTCTGTCCCTCTCCATGTAGGGAGCTTTGCTGTTTTTTCTTTACATTTTCCTAAATGCACTATCCACCTTGGCACCTCTGAGTCTACTCCTAGTTCCTGGAGTGATTTTGTCTTTTTCTTTTACCCTAAAAATGCATTATCTTTTCAGATATAGCTCCATTTTTCACTTCTAACATGTATCAGATTTTATCAGAATAATTTGTTTTATTGGAACTTTTTGAAGTATCTGTCTCCCCTTGTACTTCCTGGAGACCCCAGGCCATTTCTCATTCATCTTAATGTATCTATATGCTCATTTCTTTTTTCTTTTGGTACTGGGGATTGAACCCAGGGAATGTTCATCTCTTAATGCCTCTTGGGATCAATTCTTAGAATTCCTTGCTATTGCAGTGACATGGTACATATATTGGCTATTTACTAGATTTTCCAAACAACCCAATAGAAAATTTATGCCAGTTAATACTTCCATAATGAAGATGGGAGAGTGCTAATTTTCCCACACTTAGACAACACTAGAAGTTATTTTCTTGTGTTTATTAAAATTGTCATATATTCACTTTCAATTATATAAATATGAATCTTTTTATGTAGACACTATCTGAAAGTGTTCCATTGAGGAGTATATTCTTCTTTAAACTTTAGATCTCAAATCAGGAATTATTACTGATCTAAAATAGGAGTAATTTTTTAAGCTTTCAATACATAAATTAATTTTTAAAAAGCTTTAACCTATTTTAGGTGCATTTCATGTGGTTTCATTAGCCTTATTTATTGTAACTAAAATTATTTACCTGTTTCATTAGAACAAATATGATATATATATATTTTCAAATATGATATATAGTTTTCTAAATCAATATTGTTTTTAACTATGACCTTTAGAATCATTTGAGGAAGTTGAAAAACAAATAAAACAACAACAACAACAACAACCCCCCCCAAAACCCAGCAGTGCCTTCAATTGAATTCTTCAATAAGAATCTTTCAAGTAACATCTAGATGTGGGTATTTAGGAAAACAAAAACTTTTTGGATGATTCTAATGTACAGTCAAGATTGAAGGCCAACAGTTACAGGACTCGTTTTCTTATTTGAAATATGTATTAGATCACCTTTTCCCATTTGTGGACTAGGATGTAACTATTCTGAAATATGCATGAGGGCTTTATAAAATAAAGATATTAGCCCCCTGTCATATTTGCTATAACATTATTTTATTGGTTTTTTTATCTTCTAATTAGTTTACCTTTAACATGTACCCATTTAAAATTTTTATTTAGCCACATGTGATTTTTAATTCTTTTTCATGTCTTTTAACCTAAAAAGTTCTTATCCTTAAGAATTGGTAAAGGGTCAATTCTGAGTAGTTCTGTTTTTTTCCTCCCTATAGTTTGACAAAAACAAAACTTATATAAGATTTTATAAGATACTCAGTTAAAATAAACTACATCTATTTAGACTCAAGTTTGGTGTGATGAGCCATATCATGTAACACCGTCTCATTTCAATAGTAACCTGTAGTGTCTTTCTGTTCCTGTGTCTTTGCAGATTTCTTTAAAAATAAAATTTTCCATAAGGAAAGTCTAGGTCAGGTCAGATCTTAAGGACATTTTTTTTTTTTCTTCAAGGCATTTTGATTGATTACTCTCTTGGGGGGAAAATCTATTCTGGGAATATAGAAAGCACATCTTGAACTGCCTTGCTGCCTCTGCACAAGTATGAAAGCCCAGAAAAATCCTGGATTGTCTTTACAGTCTGGACAGAAAAAGAGGCAGTTTTGATGAATGTGATTTATTTTTTTTAACTTAGAGCTTTTTAATACCTACTGACCTCCCCAGTTCATTCTAAAGCCTCAGGTCCATGTGGCTTTGACGAATGACAGTCTGTTATGTAACTGAGGAAGCAGCACAGAATCCCTGATCTTGGAGAAGTTGCTGAGGTAGAAAAGTGGCTCTCAGACATATCCAGTAGAGCAAACTTAAAACAAAAATTTGGCACACGGTTATACCTAATGATGCTCAGTGAGGAAGAGCATTACAAAGTTAAATGTCCTACAGGCACCAAGTCTGGAGCCACTTTTGGTCTTGGATAGACCAGATGGCCTGTCTGCAGGATCCTGGTTCATGGGTAGGAAGCTATGCAGGAGAAGGGGACCCAGTTTCTCTTCTACTCCTTTGACATATCACTCAACCCATATGTACTTTCATTGGTTGTTTTCTTTTTCCTTAAAGATAAGATGAAAGAATTAAGTCTCATTTTGTGATCTTCCCAAACAAATTGTCTTATTGGAAATAAAAACCTGAAAACATTATTTTAGATTTTTTTCTTTTAGCATTTTTTAATTGAAAACTGGTTATTTCCAGGTATGGTGGCACACACCTGTAATCCCCATGATTAAGGGGGCTGAGGCAGGAGGATAACAAGTCTGAGGCTAGCCTTAACAACTTAGCAAGACCTTGTCTCAAAATAAAAAATAAAAAGGCTTTGGATGTAGTATAGTGGTAGAGCATCCAGGATTCAGTCCCCAGTGCCACAGAAACCAAACCAAAACCAAAATTAAAGCCAAAAGTGGTTCTTGGGTGAATGTATTATTTGTTTCGGCATTCTTTTATAATTGCTTAAAAATAGAATTTGCTCTTGTAGACATTATACACACATATCTAGAAATTTTTTTCTGACTAAAATTTAAATAGGTGGTATGTGGATAGTAAAATTAATATTAGAAGTATAATTAATCCTATTGGTAAAGTCGGGAAACCTGTAGACTTCCTACCTGGCTGCCCAGGAATTGATGAAAGCAGTAGTTCATCAAATTCTAGGAGGCAATAAATACAGACCTCTGAAGCGACCACCATGTTACTGACTCACAAATTTGAGTCTGGAGCCTTAGGTTTCATTGTTTCATTTAGGTATTGTAAGCATTTTCAAGGTCACTAACTGAATGAATAGGCATTTGTGATCATTTCTACTAACATTTTTGAATTTATAGATGAATATCACTTTTTAAAAATTTAACATGGAAGTGAAAATGTTAAGGAAGGTACCTTAACTCATAAGTAGCTATATTTTGTCTTTTTGCAAATAGCACTTATTCAATTATAATCATATAAGAGTAAGGACCAGAATTCCTTATGCAAGTGGCCCAGCCTAGAGAACAGTTTATTATAGAGAAAGCTCTGAATAGAAGATCCAGAATTATCACATCAGGGCAAATGAGTAGTTCACAGAGCCTCAAGGCTGTCAGCTTTAGTACTTTAGGACCCATTGTCTTTTGTAGAATATTCATGCTATGTAATATTGTTCTTAAAGGTAAGAGTATATAATGAGTTACTTGGATAGTATTTTAATCAAAATTCCCACTGTCTTTCATATGTTAATTTTAATTTTTTTAAACTTATTTTTTGAGATTGGGTCTTCCTGTGTTGCCTAGGCTGGCCTTGAATTTCTGGGTTCCAGGATCTGTGATCCTCCTGCCCCAGCCTCTTAAGTAAATGGGACTACAGGTGTATACCACCTTGCCCACTTGTGATGTTTCAAAAACAAGTTTAACTTATGTTTTCATCAGTGAAGCCCTGAAGTGTTTAATTGTCATATTTTTAAAAGGGTGAAATAAGCCAGGTATGGTAGCACATATCTGTAATCCTAGCTCTTTGGGGGGCTCAAGCAGGAGGGTCACAAGTTTGACCAGTCTGGGCAACTTAGTGAGGACCTTGTCTCAAAATAAAATGAGAAAGGGTTGAGATGCAGTTCAGTGGTAGAGTGCTTTCCTAGCATGTGTGAGGACCTGGGTTCAGTCCCCAATATTGCAAAAGAAACGGAAAACAAAGTTTTCATTATTGGCCACATTTTCTCATTTCTTCAACAATTTAGGAAAGGAATTGTTATGTCTCCTGTTTGCAAAGTGAGTTTAGATGACTTAGCTCTTAAAGACAAACTTTTCAAACATTAACTTATCAAAGCTGTTTTAACATCAGGCAACAGCTAAAAATTAGAATAAAGATTATTAAGGATTTCTGTAGCAATACAGTTTTAAAATTTTAAAAATTGTTGTTAATATTCTTTATTTTGGTTCACGGGTTTGAATGCATCCACATAATAGTCTAGTATTTTTCTCAATTTGCTATTACTCAGGTGGGGCTCTTTTAAAATATGTGCACTGTTTTTTAAAAAATGTTTTCTAGGCTATCCCTATCCAACAGAGGAAAACAAGTCCACTTGCTTCTGGAATGAGATCATCACCTCTCCCCTCGGATTATCTGGTTGAAATTAACAAAATTTTACTTACAATGGATGATGTGGAATTATCACTTAATATTCCTGAGCTAAAAAACACTGTCTATGAAGACTTCTCTTTTCAGGAAGACTCACTGAAGGTAAATGTGCAGGCACTGCATAGGGAATAGCCAGAATTATCTTGCCCACTTAGATGGCCCAGATCTTTTAAAATTGTACCAAGGAATAATTAATGGATATGAATAACAAAACTTTCCTATACTCTCCAGTGAATTATAGCAAAAATTTTATTTTTAAAAAATTGGTTATGAATTTTTATATATGAACAGTTATGACTTATTTTGCAACAGCAGAGACCTTAAACATAAGTAGAGAACATATTCCTGTCTTACAAACTTGATTGTCCTTTGAGTGAAATGTCAGCTTTTGTCTGGTTATCTAAATGATTTAAGATTGGCCAGTTGGGATGGTATATGGCATCTTGATTCTAAGTTAGTTAACTAAACTATTCAATTCTGTCTAGGCTTTGTTGTACAATTTGATTGCATTTATATATAAACTCACAATAATATCACTGATAGGTTTGATAACTTATATAGTTCATTTCTGTCATTTAAACTATCATAATTAGATCTTTGAAAATATAAATAATTCCAGTCTTGAGTGCTCCATTACCTTTTCAGAATGTAACAGAGGTTTTCATGTCCTGTCCAAAAGCCACTTTGAACATCAGTGAGAATTTTCCCCCTTGCCATTTGTATTACATTCTTCACATTTTGACCAATGCAGCTGTTCATTAAAAACAGAAAACAAAAAACAATGTTTGTCCTCATTATTATTTTAAATGAGCATTACACAATACATATTTTTGGTTATCTGTGATTCTTTACCATTTTGCTGGATTTTGGTAATGCGTGACAATATGTTTTTTAGAATATCAAAGACCAACTGGACAAACTTGGGGAGCAGATTGCAGTTATTCATGAACAGCAACCAGATGTTATTCTTGAAGCCTCGGGACCTGAAGCCATTCAGATCAGAGATATGCTGACTCAATTGAATGCAAAGTGGGACAGAGTTAATAGAATGTACAATGATCGTAAAGGGTATGTACAAGCTAAGTTAATTTTAATATCTAAAAATATGTCTACAAGTTCATGTGCCATGAAACAGTTTACTTGTATAGAGAATTTGTTTCATATTTTTGAAATTTGGCCTATTTAATAAGTTGTTATGAATACAGCCCCTTAAAGAGGAGACTGATCATGAATAGATGACATACATAGTGTCTTAATAATATGCAAGCACTTTTAATTTTTAGTATTTAAATAGTACCCATTTAAAAAAAAATTAAAAAAGGTTTTTAGTTTACTAAAATGCACATACTTTTTGGATACACTTGATTAATGTGGGTGAAGACCAAAGACAGTGACAGAGTCCATCTATAATCCTTTTATAATCTTCTGTTGGAGAGATTGTTTCTGAGCCTTTTTCTTACTAGATTTTGACCAGGCCTAATAATACGTAGAAATAAATCTGGTAAGAATTTTAGTCAATAGCTGTGAATGTATTGGAAATGAAAATAAGGTATGAAATAGCTCAACGTGCTGTAATCCCTGTAGCTCAGGAGGCTGAGGCAGGAGGATCACAAGTCAAGTTTAGCAACTAAGGGAATCTTATTTCAAAATAAAAAGGGTTGGGGATGTGGTTCCTCTGGGTTCAATCCCTGTACAAAAAAAAAAAAAAAAAAAAGGAGAAATAAAAATAAGACAACATAAAGTACTGTATATGAGCTAAGTTAACACAGGACAGTACATTGTAATATATTGGAAAACTTCAGAGATGCAGAAACTAGGCATCATTTTTACCTTTTTTCATATTTCATGTGACTATCCAACCCTCAAGAGGATAGCTTTTAATACCTTTACCTTATTCCTTTGAATGGGATTTTTAATATCATCTCTTTGTACATTTAGAAAATATCCATTTAAGTACATCCTTAACCATACTTATAAAATAGACTCGATTATTAGATGAAGACAAATTTGATTAAAAAAATAGTAACATTTTAAGACTTTGGATTACTGTACTTATTTTTTTAAAAATATCAAATGGGCCAAGGACCTGAACAGACACTTCTCAGAGGAGGACATACAGTCAATCAACAAGTACATGAAAAAATGCTCAACATCTCTAGCTGTCAGAGAAATGCAAATCAAAACCACCCTAAGATACCATCTCACTCCAGTAAGATTGGCATCCATTAAGAAGTCAAACAACAACAAGTGCTGGCGAGGATGTGGGGAAAAGGGTACACTTGTACATTGCTGGTGGGACTGCAGATCGGTGCAGCCAATTTGGAAAGCAGTATGGAGATTTCTTGGAAAGTTGGGAATGGAGCCACCATTTGACCCAGCTATTCCCCTTCTTGGTCTATTCCCTAAAGACCTAAAAAGGGCATGCTACAGGGACACTGCTACATCGATGTTCATAGCAGCACAGTTCACAATAGCAAGACTGTGGAACCAACCTAGATGCCCTTCAATAGACGAATGGATAAAAAAAATGTGGCATTTATACACAATGGAGTATTACTCTGCATTAAAAAATGACAAAATCATAGAATTTACAGGGAAATGGATGGCATTAGAGCAGATTATGCTAAGTGAAGCTAGCCAATCCCTAAAAAACAAATGCCAAATGTCTTCTTTGATATAAGGAGAGTAACTAAGAACAGAGTAGGGATGAAGAGCATGAGAAGAAGATTAACATTTAACAGGGATGAGAGGTGGGAGGGAAAGGGAGAGAGAAGGGAAATTGCATGGTAATGGAAGGAGACCCTCAGGGTTATACAGTGGAGGAGGTAGAGAGAGAGGAGGGGAGGGGAGGGGAGAGGTGGGGAGGGGGGAGGGTGGAGGATGGGAAAGGCAGTGGAGCACAACAGACACTAGTATGGCAATTTGTAAATCAATGGATGTGTAACTGATGTGATTCTGCAATCTGTGTATGGGGTGAAGGTGGGAGTTCATAACCCACTTGAATCAAAGTGTGGAATATGATATGTCAAGAAATTTGTAATGTTTTGAACAACCCACAATAAAAAATTTAAAATAAATAAATAAATAAATAAAAACATATAATTGAATACTGAAAAAAAAAATATTTTTTAGTTGTTGCTGGACCTTTATTTTATTTATTTATATGTGGTGCTGAGAACCGAACCCAGTGCCTCACACATACTAGGCAAGTGCTCTTCCACTGAGCTACAACCCCAGCCCTGGATTATTGTTCTTCTGCCGACAGTCTTCGTGAATGTGTTCTTCCTTTTGAACCCTGGATAATATTGACAGGATTTTTAAAAAAGAGCTTTGCCAATTTTATAGCAATAGGTTCCATTTCAGTTTTATTTTCACCTTGTTGTTATCAGTGAGATTTGAATATTCTTATATATGTTTTTTTTGCCCCAGATTTGCTCTTTTTTTTTAACCATGATATACCATTTCCTTATTTTTGCAAAAACTTTTTTTTTCATTAAAGATAGAAGCTATTTATGGTTTTATTTCTTGTTATTTAAGTGGACATAGCTTTTCTATGTCCTTTAATTTTGTTAATGGTGGTTTTTTGAGATGTGGAAAATTTTATGTAATTCTCTTATAATTCTTTGTGATTTCATTAATTTAAATGAAACTTATGTGCATGTAAGTTAACTTTGTACTGTGAAGCAAATATTTATGTACACTTAAAAAACTTTTTTTTAGCCAGGCACAGTGTTGCATGCTTGTAATCCCAGTGACCTGAGGCTGAGGCAGGAGGACCTCAAGTTTGAGGCCAGCTTGGGCAACTTAGTCTCAAAATAAAAAATGAGAATGACTGGGGTTTTAGCTCATTGGTAAAGTACCCACTGATTCAATCCACAATAATTCCTCCTACCCTGGCAGACAACAAGAAGACTCAATTTTTTATTTGCTTAATTTAAAATGCACAGTTAATAATCTAATCCATCTGAAATTTATTTTGATATGTACTATACACCAACTTCAGTAGCATGAGTAGGATTCATGCATCTCTATCTTTCTTTTGTGTTGGTACTGGGTTCTGTCACTGAGCAGTGCTGCTAGCCCCCTGCCCCCTTCTTTTTTAAAATTTTGAGACATGGTCTTCTTAAGTTGCCCAGGCTGGGCTCCAACTTTTGATCCTCCTGCCTCAGCCTCCCAGGTAGCTGGGATTATAGGCATAAATCATCTTGCCTGGCTGTATTTGCACTTCTTAAACATTGTTCAGCTAATTTTTTATGCCGCCTGAATTAAGAAGCACTGATTAGCTCTATTTGGCTTCATTTTTCTTAAAGGAACAACCAACATTTTCATTACTTTTTATTGAATGAATTTATCTCTTTTTGTTGGTGACACTTCCTTTAAATTATAATTTAAAATATATTTATTTCATATTTATTTAATTTTGCTAATTCTGTCTTAATTATACCATTATTTTAAAGCAAATATCATATTTTCATTTTAAAAACAAATTTATTCATCCAGTACAATAAATTTTCCGAAATTATTCTGAAATTAATATTCTTTTCCCACCAGTTATTCTAAAAATCTTTTGTATTTTTCCAGTGAAATCTTGTAATCATTTTATAATTCATGGGAGAGTGTTCAATTTGAAATTATTTTCATTATTTGTTTCCTTTGAGATCAGTAAAGTTTGAAGGGTTGGTAAAACTTTCTCATCAGGACTATTACAAAAGAGTTATACATTTTTCTTTTTTTATTTTCAAGTATATGGTATATGTTACCTTTTTTCTGTACCTGGTGTGTAAGAGTGTGTGTGTCTATTGATATAAAGTTGACTTTGTTGGCCTTTTCATTTTATCAACATACTAGGTATATATAATGGTAACTTTTATTTTTTAATTATCTTATTTGCATATGTGCATGTTGCTAATGTGGTGGAACTTCAATAACTGTGCTTATTAATAATGTTGATTGCAGACACACATACTATTTTCTTGATTATAAAAATGTTTTCTTTGGGAAACAATTTATTCCAGGGGATTTTCAAAATTGTAAGTGCAGGACTATCTTCTCTTTTGTTAGAAAAGCCTCCTCTATCATGTCTTTTACTTTATCGCTTTATTTTCTTTATTTACTTGGTTTTATTTACTTGGAGTGTTAAATCTTATTTTATTGGTTCTAGTGTATTGATCATGTTCTTTCTTTCTTCTTCTCGTTCTTTTTATTTTTTTGGTACTGGGGATTGAACCATGGTGCTTAACCACTGAGCAATATCCTCAGCCACTTTTTCCTTTTTTAATATTTTATTTAGCAACAAGGTCTTGCTAAGTTCTTAGGGCCTTGCTAAGTTGTTAAGGCTGGCTTTGGACTCACAATCCTTCTGCCTTAGCCTCCCAAGTTGCTGGGATTACAGACATGCGCCACTTTATAAACCCTATCTTCAAGTAGTCACCTTTAAGATTGAGGCTTTTACATGTAAATTTTGGTGGGACAAAATTCAGTCCGTAAGATAGAGATAATGGAGTATAAGGAATTAAATTCATGAGGAATTAAATAGAATGCTTTATTTTTCTTTTTAATATGTTAATGAATTTTTATTCATGCAGATAAATGTTTAGATTTGACTTTAAATTTTTTTTTGACTTTAAATTTAAATTTTGAAAATTGTGAAGCATCTGAGGTGTCTTGGCTTTCTGTTCTAGCTTCGAACTAATTGTTCTGGTAGTAAAACAACATATTTCATTTCTAAGAGAATAATTGATCATGTTTTATAATTTATGGTATTTGCATGTTAAATATATAACTTTGGGTAGGCTAACACGTCTACAACTAATCACTTTTGGTTTTGCAAGCCAGAGAAGGCTAGATCTTTCTATATTAAAAGCTCTCTTGGTGTGTGTGTTAGGGGGGATAGTAGAGGGAGGGGTGGTATTTGCTTTTTGCTTTGCTTTTGTTGTGATGCTTGTTTCTCTAAGAGGAATTATTAACTACAACCCACTACAAAAATTGGTCCTTGTAGTATAATAGCCCTGAATCCACTCAACTGTGGGATTTCATTTTAAATGGTATTTGAATTTCTTTTTTTTAGAAAAATTGGTTCTAGGCAGTACTGGAGAGTTCACAAACCTATTTTGTTTCTTGTCCACTAGTCATTTTGATAGGGCTGTGGAAGAATGGAGACAGTTCCACTGTGACCTGAACGACCTCACACAGTGGATAACGGAAGCTGAAGAGTTACTGGGGGACACCTGTGCTCCAGATGGCAGCCTGGACTTAGACAATGCCAGGATGCATCAGCAGGTGAGCGCTTTCTGTTCTTGAAAGGGAATCTGCCAAAATGTTGCATATGTATTTAGCATGTGGCTGTTAAGACAGATTTAAGTAGGAACTACATATATTAATTTTTCAGGAGTATATTTATAATTAGTAATTTTTATTCCCAATTTAATTTCTGGTTTCCAGGGTTTACAAAAAATTGCTCATATACAGTTTTCTTTCAGGATTTTAAAGAAGTTTAAATAAAACTGCTCATTGGTGGGTAATGTGAGAAACAATCTCATTTAAAAAATTGTGTAAAAATGACTTCCTCTCTTGCAATTTGTATTCAGGATAATATTTGTAAAATTTTGTACCCAAACTTATATCAACCACAGAAAAATATATACATACCTTAGCTGTGACTTTTTGTCCTCAAATACTTTGTATCATAGATAATTATCATAAAATTAAATTTTTCTTGATCTACAGCAGGACAGCTGCTCATGTAAGTCTAATTCAGTTCTGGGAATACATAACACAATAGCAACATCATTTCTGATAACAATAGATCTTTAAAAATAATGATAGAAAGCAAAGTAAATTTCAGTTTTACCACTGATAAAATATTTTCTCTTTTATTAAATTTTTAAAATGTATTTTCTGTAGGAGGTTCATGAGGAATTAAATAGAAATGCTTTATTTTTCTCTTTAATATGTTAATGAATTTTTATGGTTTTGGAGGTACAGATAAATGTTTAAATTTGACTTTAAAATATCCCTTTAAAATTTGTTACTGAAAACTTTCTGCAGACCAGTGAAGCATTGTTTCAGCAAAAAGGACATTGAAGTTTCTTTATATATTGCAGGATATATATTTATGTATTGCCAGGAATATATGGCGGGTAAATTTTTTTTTTTTAAGAGATGCATTTAAGCAGTTGTTTGGAAGAAGATGAGCAATTCACTTTAATCAAACTTGATTGATGCTTCGGCTTCAAAGTACACAGCTGTTGTTTGTTTTATGATATTAAGCTGTCCTATTTCACATTATTTTGCCTGATGACATTCCTGAGGGTGGGTTCAACTTCAAGATAAATTTCATTGACTGTGTTCCTTGCAATGTAATTAAGTTGTTTTAAAATGTCTTTTGTTATGAACATAAAACACCCTTCCAGGATTATGCTTCTCTAACACTTGAGCTGATGCCACAGTATTCGGGTAGGTGCATGGCGTCAGAACAGTTGAATTGTGTCATGGAATTAACTATGGCTTGTGCTCTGTCACAGGAGCTTGAAGAGGGCATCAGCAGCCACCAGCCCAACCTGGTCTCAGTCAATCGAGCTGGGGATGGGATTGTGCAGAGACTGTCCCCAGCAGATGGAAGCTTCCTGAAAGACAAGCTGGCAGGAGTCAACCGACGTTGGAGCGCAGTCGTTGCTGAAGTGAAGGATAGGCAGCCCAGGTGATTCCACCGAAGTCATTTGAGGGTACCGGAGGGAGTGTGTGTGGGTTGAATCTTTTAAGATACAATCCAACCTGTCCCAAGGTCTTTTATCATCTGATATTACAATGAAGAATTTTACTGACATTTAAGGCTCCCACTGTCCATGTCCTCATTATTTTTAGGTTGATCATGAAGTTGATTTTCTACTAAGATATGTATGTAAAAACAAACTCCATTCTTTTTGTTTCTGAGCATCCTGATAATGATGATTATGATGGGAACATCAGGTAGTTGAAAGAACACAGGTCTGGTGGGACCTTGCCTCACTCATTTCCTGGCTGAGTCTGCCTTAGTTACCCATCCCACTAGGTTGTCCTTACTGTTGAAGGATGTGCTCTATCGCCACGTGTCAATCCCTCATCTAGGTATTAGAATACATATAACATGTTATTGCTTGTTTGCATGACCGACTATGCTACAGTGTCCCAGATTCTGTAAAGGTATCAACTGATTGGAAATATGTTTGATTACTAGTATATATAATATTCGCTCTTTGTATTTTACATTTAAAATGATTTTAAGTCATTTTCTGAAAAATTAGAAACTTAGTGAACAATTTCTACCTTGCTAAATGTATTCAATCTTATTGATGATTTTTTTGAGGGGGTGCTGTGGTACTGAGGACCAAACCCAGGTCCTGTTGTGTGCTAGACAAATGCTCTACCACTAAGCCCCATCTCCAGCCCTTGTTGTGGTTTTCATTGTAGTTTTGGGTTAAAAAGTTGAAGATTTTTTTTTCTGCTAGTTTGAACTCTGTGGATGATACATTATTTCAGTTATAAGCTATTCGTTTGTCTAACACTTTATCAAGTACATTATTATAATATTATATATGGCATTAATAGTATGGTATGGTGTGTGGCTTCTTTTTATTGTAAAAAGTCTACATTTCTTATGTTCTGGTTACAGTCAGGCAATAATTGGTATGTGTTGGTTGAGAGATCACTATGTGGCAGAGAGAGAATTTGGGACTTTGCACACATTGTCTCATTTAATCCTGATAGACACTCTCTGAGGAAACTTGCTACAGCTGTGGAAACTGGGGCTTCATGAGGAGAGGTTAAGTAACTTGTCCAAAGTTTCATAGAAAGTAGGTGCTAACAAGTATTACACAGTATAAACCTAGAAAAGCCCCAGAGCTCTCTGGCTGAAGTTTTCCACTCTTTAAATGAGAATTATGCTCTAATGAGGATTAAATGAGACAATGTTTGCAAAGCATTCATGCCTTGACTGTTCATAGTTAACTTTTTTTAAAAAAAGTATTTTTAGTTGTAGTTGGGCACAATACCTTTATTTTATTTATATATATATTTTTATGGTGCTGAAGATGGAACCCAGGGCCTTGCCCATGCTAGGCAAGCGCTCTACTGCTGAGCCACAACCCCGGTCTCCCATAGCTAACTCTAAAATTATCTATTTCTTATAAAAGTAAGTTATCCTAGCACTTATTCTCCAGAATGTTCTTGCTAAATTTTGCCAATGATTGATTGATTTGATCAACATTTATTGAGCCTATGTTTAGTCCTGAGGATACAAATATCACTAAGAAACAGAGACTAAGAAGAAAATTTTGAAAGATGAAGTGTTTAGAGAATGATTACCAAAAATGTTTCTAATAGGGGGAGAGGAAGATATGATAGACTGTGAAATTTAGGTCTTAAAGAGGAAGGATATTGGATGCTGAGCTTTGAGGTATTTGTAGCCATGGACCATGAATTCCTTCTAGGGAGTGTTGTTTTAATAGGCAGCTTCCTGTTGTGATAACAAATACCTGAAATAATCAACTTTTAAAAGAAAAACTTTATTTGGTCACAGTTTTGCAGGTTTCAGCCCATGATTGGTTGACCCTGTTGATTTGGGGCCTGCAGCAACATGTCATGGTAGAAATGCTTAGTGAAGCAAACCACTCACTTCATGATAGGGAAGAAAAAAGAGTGGAGGAAGTGGCTGTAATCCAACTATCCCCTTGAAGGTCATGTCCCTCAATAATCTCAAGACCTCCTGCTAGATCTCTCCTCTTTAAGTTTCTACCACCTTCTAATTGCAAGAGCTGGGGGGCAAGTCTTAACATTTGGGCCTTTGGGGAACATTCCAAACTATTGCATTGTACCCTGGCCTCCAAAAAAAATCTATGTTCATTTCACAATGAAAAATGCCTTCAGTTCATCCCCAAGAGTATTCCTGAAGTTTTAGCACTTTTAGCATTTCTTAAAAGTTTAAGGCCAATTTCCCCTTTAAGATCGAAAGAAAACTCAATCGTGAGCCCCTGTATGAAATCAAAACGTAAGTTACAAACTTCCAAGACATAATGGCAGGAGAAGTATGGGTTATTTATTTCTGTCCCAAAAGGCAGGAATAGGAAAACAAAAGCAAGACTGAAACCTAGCATGATGAACGTGAAATCCTCCAGCTCTGTGTCTGGCATCCTGGGCACACTGGGGGGATGTGGTCCCCCAGGGGTTCAGGGAGACCCACCCCCACTGTTTTGTTTATAGCCCACATAGCCTCTGTCCTGGGCTGGCTTGGATCACTGCCTGCAGCTTCCCTCCGCAAACGTTCCACATTGCCAACATTTCTATCTTCTTGGGGTCCTTAGTTAGGCATGTTCTTTGCTCTCAAATTTCTGTGCTGCACTCTGTTGGAGGCTACTTGCAGGAGCTCTTACCCTGTAACATGCTTCCTGGCTCTCAGATTTTCCTTTGAAATCTTGGTGGAAGCCTCCTTGATTCCACAACTGGTTCATTTCACACGTCTGCAAAAGAAGCATCATATGGATGCTGCCTGAGTGAACTGTACTTGGGCCCTCTTGACCCATGGCTGCAATGGAGTGCCTTGTTGGCAGTGGTCCTGGGAAATCAGGGAGCCCAGAGACTATTTTCTCAAAAGACTCTGCCCTGGAAAGTCTTTAAAATCAATATGCATTTCTACAAATCTCTGAGCCTGTGATGGCTGTGACCTTGCTAATTTCTGAGAGTCCCTCTAGAAAATTTCCCTATTTTTCCAAGGCAGAATATATTTTTTTTTTCCTTCTGAACCCAGAAATACTTGGTGGCAGCAAGCGGCTGCTGCTGCTGCTGCTGCTGCTGCTGCTGCTGCTTTTTTCTGCTGCTGTGTCTGTTCAGTCATTTGCCAATTTATTGACTGGGTTATTTGTTATTTTGTTGTTAAGCTTTTTGAGTTCTTTATATTTCCTGGAGATTAATGCCCTATTGGAGGTGCAGGTGGTAAAGATTTTCTCCCATTCTATAGGCTCTCTCTTCACGTTCTTAATTGTTTCCTTTGTTGTGGAGAAGGTTTTTAGTTTGATATCATCCCATTTGTTGATTCTTGATTTTACTTCTTGTGCTTTAGGATTCTTATTGTGGAAATCAGTTCTTAAGCTGACATGACGGAGAGTTTGGCCTTTTTTTTTTTTAATTAGGCGCAGGGTCTCTGGTCTAATGCCTAGGTCCTTATCCACTTTGAGTTGAGCTTTGTGCAGGGTGAGAGACAGGGGTTCAATTTCTTTCTACTACATATGGATTTCCAGTTTTCCCAGTACCATTTGTTGAAGAGGCTATCTTTTTTTCATTGTATGTTTAGGCACCTTTGTTTAGTATGACATAACTGTATTTATGTGGGTTTGTCTCTGTGTCTTCTGTTCTGTTCCATTGGTGTTCATGTCTGTTTTTGTGCACTTGGATTGTTCTTAAGGACACCAGCAACTACAATAGCACCCCTCTTGTCTGTAAGTATACACATGCTTCTCTTTTAGCACAACTGCCAGTTTTCCAAATCTGTTTCTTTCTTTGTGGTTTCTACTGTAAACCCTGGTAGAAGTAAAAGCTGCCTTAATACTGGGCTGCTTTGAAATTTTCTGTGTTAGACAAACCAGTCCATCCATCACCTTTCAGTTTGGCTTCCGAAAACACACTAAGGAATGAACAAAATGCAGTTCAGTTCTTTGCCACAGTGCAACAAGGTTGGTCTGTAGTCCAATTACCATCAAAACCCTCATTTTTACATAAAACCTACTTAACATAACCTTTAGAATTGCACTCCTATCAATGGTCTTGTCTTTTGAGACCCCACCAGAATCATCTGTTAAGCATCACTTACAACATTTTAGGCTTTTTCTAGCTTGCTCCTTCAAACTTCTTCCATAAACCAATTTGAAAGACTTTTCTACATCATCAGGAATGCATGGTGGAGCCAAGCGCTTATGGCTTATGGCAGAGAAGCAAAAAAGAGCAATGGGCCGAGATCCCACTATCTCCTTCAAGGGTATTCCCCCAGTGATCTAAAGATGTCTCATTTGGCCCCACCTCTACCAACTCTGAATGTTCCCACTCCCTTCCAGTAGCATCCGGAGGAGACCGAACCTTTAACACTTGGGCCTCATCTGATTATATTCCAATATAATACTTCTTTTAATAAATTAATCAAATTTATCTTTTTCTCCTCATTTCCCCTAATATTTGTAAAATTCCGTATCCAAACTAGAGCAGCCTTTAGGGAAAAGAAAGCAGACGTGCAAAGGAGGGAGGTATGAGTAGTGAGGCCCTGTGAGAGACCTGAAGAGGATTAGGTGAAGAGGAGGCTTAGGAAGCCTGGGGCAGGATTGCAAGGGGAGATGTTCGCTTGGAGAATTCTTCCAGCTGGAGGTGAAGTGACTTCTGGGCTTTCTGCAGGGAAACAGTGCACAAGCAGAAATTCCCCTAAAGGTTTTCAAATGGATCTCTATAGAGTGTGATAATTATTGTACTTGAAACTAACAAAGTGAAGTTTATGCCTATTTTACTCACTTCTTGAACATGAAAGGAATAATGAATATTTTGCTCCAGATGTTGCATTTTGACTAAAGCAATATTTGTTTATATAAATTCATGTTAAACTTCGGGTTTGTGACCTATATTATGTTGAGACTACCTTAAAATGTTGAGTGTGTATGCATGCTGTTATCAAAGTCATTGAGAAATATCACACATTCATTTTTTTAATTGAAAGCCTGCAGCTAAATATTTGCACAGTTCAACCATTTGTGCTGTTCCTTAATGAGGAATTGTTATCTACTATTTGAATGGAATTTGCAATTTGTTTTTATACTTAGGGCTAACATTTAAATTGTAGATTATATTTAGTTTGCAGATAAAAATTCTTGGTGACTAAAATATGTCTTATTAAAATCACTTGATAATGTTAGTTTCCTTCTCAGTTCTATTTTCAAAGTACTAATTTAGTCATGATTATGAAATATTTGAAGCTTAAATTCCAACTTTTTTTTTTTTTTTTTTTTAATAAAAGGCTGGTGCTAGTATTTTGGGCATTTCCAAAGTTATTAAATCAAATACTTTTCAGGGTAGACTACCCGTTTTAGTATTGATAACCTTAACAGTTATCAACTTAATTTTAGTATTGATTTAGTATTGATAATCTTAACAGTTTATATTATTGCTTTTTAATCTTGAAACAGTATTTTCTTCATGGATATTAAGAACTCTGAATTATTAGTGATTTTCATTAGTTTTGTAATATTAAATATTATTGGCTCCACTAAGCATATAAGTATTTAATATTTTATTGCATCTACTACATCATTTTGTTAGGCCTCATGATTAAGTCATAGCCATTAAACATGTACATTCTGATTAGGGATGATACATGCAATTCATTAAAAAATGGCATTCAATTTTTCAACCAGCACCAAATTGTAGCAACTATAAAAATAATGATACCACTAAGCTCCTGATAGCTTTTAATCCCTTTAAAAAAGTATCCAATTATGTTTGTCATATGAATTCTAATCATATTCTCATCTTCTTCCAGATGGTTTGTATTCTTATAAATGTTATTCTTATAACATTTAAAAGAGCTAATTAAGGCAGTTCCATTTTTATATTCATCTGACTGTTTTCCTTGCATCCTTTAAAACTTTTGCTGTATTTTTCCTAGATCTCTTTTTATAACTTTGTGTGCCATATTCAAGCATAATGCTTACTTTAAAGAACTAATCAAATTTACATTTTTCTTGTTTTTCCCAATACTTGTAACCTTTTTCTAATCTCAGCACTTTGTCTCTTTTTTTTTCTGTCCTATGAATAAAGCAGAGTAAAAGTTGCCCCCTGATGTGAATAATGCACCATATAATGATGCTGTTCTATCTGCATGAAGTACTCAAAAAAGAATTGTTTGCTTTTCCTTATTATTTTAGATAAAGACATTTTTCATGTTTTTAAAAATTTCTATTATACTACCCAGTGGTATCTAACTTTAAAAAGTTTTATATAAAGTACATATAATTTTTCATGACAAGAATATAATATTCTTTAGTTTCTATGTTTTTGAATAGCATTAAGGAAAAATTCTTGTTATTTTTATTAAGTAGCCTTTAGTCTGCCATATGTATACATTATCATTAACATTTATTTAAAAACACATATTAAAAATAATTGTTAGAGGGGCTGGGGTTGTGACTCAGCAGTAGAGTACTTGCCTAGCATGTGCAAGGCCCTGGGTTCAATTATCAGCACCACATAAAAATAAATAAAATAAAGATATTGTGTCCAACTACAACTAAAAAATAAATATTTAAAAAAATAATTGTTAGAAATTATTTCTTTTTGGAGAGTTAATCAGGATATCATAAGCACATATATAATGTTCTTCTTAATGAGATATTTTTTCTTATTATTTTTCAATAATTCTTTTAGGTTAAAAGGAGAAAGTAAACAAGTGATGGGGTATAGAAAAAAGCTAGATGAGATTATCTGTTGGTTAATGAAGGCTGAGAATACTGTGCAAAAGAGATCAACTACAGAGCTGGAAGGAAACCTACAGGAATTAGCAGTAAGTGGTGCATTTGTCTCTATATTTGCCATTGACTTTTGATGCATGGGCATTATTCTTAAGTAAGAGATTGCATGACTAAAGAAGAAAAGGAAAGAAACTCTGCACTTTGTGTAAATGTGATGAATTTAAAGAGGAATTTTTTTTTTTAAGAGCAGCTGTAATTTTGAGCTTGCAGAGATAAAACTTCATGCACATAGACAGGATAAACCACCATACTCTTAGTATTAGACCAGATTTTTAGATTATGTAAAAATAATCTAAAATATATAATACTGTTGTGAAGTATAGTTGTTTTTTTTTTTTTTTTGCTGTTAGAATATAAATACTGATTATTATTGATGAAGTTGAGTTTTACAGAAAATTCTTGAGCAATGTGCATAGTAACTCATTGGAACTTACTGGAGAGTTAGTGTAATGATTGTCTTAATGAAATTTTATTTGTTGCAGCTGATAAGAATAGTCTATAGTTGTTCATGTATATAATAGCAAAAAATGCATAAAGATATGCAGGTATATAAATATATACAAATATCCCTAAAATTTTATATCACAAGTATTTATATTTTTCATTAATGCAAGTACATGTTGTAGAATAATAAGAATTATGTGTTCACATTTATATTTAACAAGAAAGGAATTGTGTGACTGTGTATACAAATGTGCATGTATAAAAGTATGGGTTAAAAGGATACTTAATGATTGGATAGCAGATTTGGTCCATAAAGGAATGATTGGGGCATTTGGGGAAAGACATTTTTTAATAATGATGAAAAATATGTTGCAAACATTTATTAAATTTTCTTTGCAAAATGTGAAAATATCTACTATCCTGTTTTAATAAAAATATCAATAGAATTTCCCTTTTGCAAGCAAATACCACCCTGAACGCGCCCGATCTCGTCTGGGAAGAATTACAAAGGGAAGGACCCTATATTAAGATGGAGTATCAAGGTGGAGATAAGAAAAGAGTGTTAGCTGTGTGTGGTGGCACACGCCTGTAATACCAGCTTCTCAGGAGGCTGAGGTAGGAGGATCGTGAACTTGAGGACAGCATCAGCAACTTAGTGAGATCCCCCATCTCAAAATAAAAAAATCCAGGGGGCTGTGGATGTAGTTCAGTGGTCGAGTACCCCTTGGTTCAACTCCCAGTTTCAGGGGAAGGAGGGAGAAAGACTAGAGTGTTAATTTAGAAAGGAAAACACAGTATGACCCTGTTAAAAGAGAAAATATGGAAGTATGTGTTCCTGTGCATGCACAGACAATCACACTTTGTTGTGTCTTCATTGCCTCTCTGTTCCGGTTTCTTAACATGTGCTCAGGCATCTTGTAAGATCATTTTCCTTTGGAGAAATTAAAACCCCACATTCATAAGAATGCTTTCCCAAGAGATTTTTAGTACATTTCTTGAACTTTGCCCAGTAGAACAATTATCCAACTGAACTTGTCTTCGATTCCTTTAGGACTTAACCCAAGAGATGGAAGTAGAAGCCGAAAAACTCAAATGGCTGAATAGAACCGAACTGGAGATGCTCTCAGATAAAAGTCTGAGCTTACACGAAAGAGAGAAACTTTCAGAAAGCTTACGAACTGCAAACTCTACTTGGAATAAGGTGAGTGGGGCTGCTCTAACATATGTTTCATATTTATTGATATGGAATGAGAACAGGTTTGTAGCTGTGTCACCTTTAAACACATTTCATAATTCTTACTCATGTTTACAGTTTTTTTTATCCATTATAGACAGAAGCATATGTTTTCAAAGAATATCTTCTATTTAATATGGAATTCTTTGGCCAGGAGGACTTATACATTATATACTACATTAAATAATGAATGTATATGATAATTTGGCAATAAAATGCCAATAATTATATTCTAAAAACGAAGACCTTAAAATAGCTTCCTGATGTCACATGTGACTTTTCACATATGTGTTGTTTATTTTCAGTGATTTTATTCATTCACTGTGTATTTAGTAGGTTCCAGTGGCATATAATGACATATGACTCTTATGGTAACTCAGTGGTCTCCTTTCCCTCATCCATTATTTTTCCGTTATTTGTTATTGGCTCAGAATAGTTATATGATATATAACATTAGGATTCATTTTGACATAATTATAAATGCATGGAATATAATTTTCTCCAATTTAGTCCCCAGTACTTACCCTAACCCCCTTTCCCTCCCCCATTCCCTTTCCTCTATTCTATTGAACTTTCTATTTATTTACATTTTTAAAAAATAGCATCTTGTGGATATACATAATGGTGAGGTTCATTGTGGTATATTTATATATGTACATTGGAAAGTTAGTTCAGGTTCATTCCACTGTTTTCCCCTTATCCCATCCCTCCTCCCTCCCAACTAATTTCCTTCTGTTACTCCCCTAATCTTTCTTTTTTTTTGTTGGAATTCCTCCTGCACTCACCCCATTTCTTTTCTCTTTCACTCCTCCTTATTTTAGACTAGCTTTCACATATCAGAGAAAATATTTGACCTTTGACTTTTTGGGTCTTACTTATTTCACTTAGCATTATAATTTCTAGTTCCATCCATTTGCCAGCAAATGACTTCATTTCATTCTTTTTTTATGACTGAGTAATATCCATTCATCAGTTGATGGACATCTAGGCTGGTTCCGTAGTTTGGCTATTGTGACGTGTGCTGCTATAAACATTGATGTGGTTGCATTTCTGTAGCATGATGATTTTTAGATCTTTTTGAAATATACCAAGGAGTGGGATACCTGGGTCATAAGGTGGTTTCATTCCTTGTTTTTTGAATCTTCATATACCTTCCAGAGTGGTTGTGCTAATTTGCAGTCCTACCAACAATGTATGAGTGTACCTTTTCCCTGCATCTTCACCAACACTTATTTTTATTCGTATTCTTCTTTTTTATTATTTGTTTCTTGATAATCACTATTCTGACTGGAGTGAGATGAAATCTTGTTGTCGTTTTGATTTTCATTTTCGTAATTACTATAGATGTTTAATTTTTTTATATACTTGATGGCCATTTGTATTTCTTCTTTTGAGACATATCAGTTAAGTCATTTTGCCCATTTACTTATTGGTATTTGTGGCTTTGGTGTTTAGTTTTTTGAGTTCTTTGTATATTCTGGATATTAATGCCCTATCTGAGGTGCAGGTGGCAAGGATATCCCATTCTCTAGCTTCTCTTTTCATGCTCTTAATTATTTTCCTTGCTATGTAGAAGCTTTTTGTTATTATCTATCTATCTATCTATCTATCTATCTATCTATCTATCTATCTTTGAGAAAAAGGAAAAAGAAGATTTATTGATTTGCTAGAAAATGAGAAATACAGGGGACTCCTGTGCCAGAGGCTGTGATTCTGCCCATCAGCTTTTAAAGAGGTGATTCAAAGGCTACATTCCACATATTCTCTGTTGGAGTTGTAATTCTGTTGTTAATTTCGGGGATAGTCATTTCTGAGATCCTCTTTTACCATTCCCAAAGTCTGTCTATATTACTTCATTTCTATGGTGGTTGTGTTCTCAGGACAGATAAATCTGTCTAAAATGGAAAAGAAAGGTAATCCTGTTTCCTCTGATATTAGAAAGAAGAGAGATTAGGGAGGAGTAGGGAGAGAGAAAGAGAGAAGGAGAAAGAAATATGTCCATTTAAAAACTAAGCTGCAGTGATAGGGCAGCAAGAGCTATATTCAAAGCATAAAGTAGACCACTGTTACATTTCTACACTGTCAATTTCTGCATTCCATTTCTATGAAAAATGGGTGACACCATCTGCATGCTACTTGTTGCTGAAAGAGTGCAAAGTTGGGGAAGTAATCCAAAATTCTTGTTCTCTATCAGGTGGGGTGTGGACAGTTAAGGGTATTCAGCATCAGAGCAGTCCAGAGGCCCATAGTGACAGATGGCAGGTGACTGGACAAGGCATACATAGGGGAGGGATCAGCATTATTTTTTTGGTAAATAGTATAAAATCAATTAGTATTTCAGGCAGTCCCTGAAAACCATGAATACAGTAACCCATAATCATTATCTGCAGAAAACAGATCGAGTTTATCAACATATAAGGGTAGGAAGATTTGTAAGTCTATAAGATCAGGCTCAAATTAACTCAGGACACATTTGTGGCTCTTGAGTCCTTTATGATCAGTATTATTAGGCTCTCTCACACAAGAACCCTTCCTTTAGAGGCTCTGGCTTTATTCACTTTTGGTAGGGCTGACACAACTGTATGTCTTGTTCCTATGTACCATTAAGAGTTAGCTAAGATTCCTCAGAGAGCATTCTTGGAGATGTTTGCGAAGACCCTTGGCTCCTTTAGCTTTCCTGTACCAGTGGTACCATCTGCTAGGATGGGTCAAAAGTCTTGCTGACCATACTTGGCTTCTCTTGGAAGCATCAGGAACATTTCCTCTCCAATGACCCTCCTCTTTGCAGAATGTGCACTGGTTGGCTTCCTGTTCTCTAAAGTCATCTTGATCTCCCTGATCAACAGATCAGGTGACTCACTGGAATTTCAGGGCCCAGAAATTATTATTTTAATTGTTATTCTTTGAGTCCTGGCTAACCTTAGAGGGCAAGGGTCAAAATGTTGGCTGTTTTTTCCTTGGCCTTTTTACTTCCTTGACTTTGGTCTCCAATTTTTGGTTTTAAACATGCACCAGACCAGTTTCATCAGTCTTAAAGGGGGAATAACAGATTATAACTTCAATATCTATAGTTTTACAGTTATCCCTTTCATTTAATTGGGATCACTATTAGAAGTGGAAGCCAGCATTAGATCCTATCTGTCCTATAGGTGAAAACTTATTTTTCCAAATTAACCCAGGTTGTTTTATTAGAAACAGTACCTCTGCAAAACACTGAAAAGTAACAGTTATAAAGTTTACAAGGAAAATACAAAATGAAATTAATAGAGCAAAAACATATTCAGTTTGTGTAATAGCTATGAACCAAATAAAGTGATTTTTATGATCTTAAACTTTTACTTAGTTATGTATTATATCCCCTGTTTATTTTGAGAACATAGTAATCTTTTTTTTAATTTTCATTTTTGTGGTGTTGGGGATTAATCTCAGGGCCTTGTGTATGTAAGGCAGGCACTCTATCAACTGAGCTGTATCCCCAGCCCATGATCACAGTAATCGTTACAACAAAAATCGATCTTTTGAATCCTTTAAATGAGTTCAAGTTTAGCCTATTTTTTCAGTCATTTTAACATGGAGTAAAGTGAGAGGCAGAGCCTTACCTCAGTAAGGTGGGGCTCTTGACAAATAACCCAGTACATTTCATTTGAAACAAGAATCAAAGGCTAAGAGAGCTTTAAACTTTCTTTTTATGGAAAAAGTGGCAAAATGTTTCCATGTTATACAATATCACCTTTAAACAGATCAGGTTCTCCTTATTATTTTTCAAAAATACATTTAAATTTCTATTCCAATGTAAAGAGTAACACAAAATTGTATATATAACTCATTGACAACAGGTTACTTTATCCAGTCATAAAACATCAAATGACATGAATAAATACCAACCATATTTGTTATTTCTACATAAATCTGAAGGAGGATTTTGCTACAGATAATTTTAGTTTTGAGAATGTGAACTTGATAAAGTACTCTCCTAAGCTTTACATTTAACCAAGTTTAACTTTTAAAGTACAGTTTGGAATGCACAGTGTAAGTAACAATAGTCACAGGTCTGCATAGGTTAGCAGTATTAGCAAAAATAATATGGTAGCCTTAAATCTATTATATATTTAGGAAACAGTGTTAATGATCAGAAATAGATTTAGTCAAAGCAAACAGATATAAGATAGATCATTAGATGGCAGTGTGGTCTTTCTATGTCAGATCAAAAAGAACACTTATTGATTGATTACCTTGCCAGTAAACCTAGATCAACATTCATTTTATAAACTTTTACATAACACTTGGACAAGGCTCAGACAGATATAGTTATCAGATTTTATATATATATATATCTGCATATATTTACGGTGTCAATTATATTGTAACCTAAAATAAAAGTTGTTTATTTAACCAGTTATGAATTGATCATTTAAAAGACTTTAAAGCAGGTATAAATCCTAATTCTTTTTAGACTTAGTTTCCCTAAGTAATAAAACCTAACAGATACAAGAAAATTATCTTGATAGATAAGAGCAGATCAATGTTTCAGACTTTGCTTCGTATCACTACATTGAAATTTGAATAGTTGACTGTGCTAATTATAGCCAATTTAATCCCATACTGAAACTTTTTGAGATGTTTTTCTTCCACAAACCATTTGCAACGTACTTAGACATTTTTCAATTTATTTATAATCTTAGTTTTGTCCTTTCTTCTTGGACTTTAGCACAAGAATATTACTTTACCATGTAAAATACTTTTGCTTTCTAATTTTCCATACTAAAATTTATTTCCATATCTATAACTTTCTTTTCTTTTATCTTTTTTAGTTTCAGACCCTTTCTTAAATTCATATTTTGAAACAATCCTTATGAATTTTATCTGTGCATTTAATTTACACAACAAATTTCATCCCAGGAGAGGGATCAGAAAATCTGGCATATACAAGAACTGTGTCTTAATCTGTTTTCTCCCAGGTTGCATTC